AGAGAGAGAGAGAGAGAGAGAGAGAGAGAGAGAGAGAGATTAGTTTCTGTATAACCACAGATTTGGGCATCTGCTCTGAGTAAGGATTTTTAATGACTGACCAATCCGTCTACTACAGATCTTATATAAGGCATTGCAAGAATCTGGTAGCCACAGGGGTGACTCACAAAGGCATGATGGGATTTGTAGTTTCACAGCTGGAGTATCGAGGTTGCCAACCCCTGCTATAGAGCATAAAAGAAACTGACCAATAACTGAGTGAATTTTGTCCGCTTTTCGATGGACTGGCCACAATTTGTTGGAAGCCTTGAGCCCAACAACATTGGATAAAAAAAAAAAAAAATCCAAGGCGCTGGATGGAAAATTCTCGGCCAAACGATGACTTGAGGTATTCTGAAATCTGCACACCCATCGCTGTCAGAATACAAAATCCGCAGTGGGAGATTCATCCATCCACACTGTTCAGCATGAATGGAGTTTTTCAAACCCAACAGTGTATGGTCAGCTTTAACCCAAGAACAAAATAGGAGGCTATTGCAGCGTATCCGTTCTTAGATGTGGTGGCTGCATTCATTTTTATCTTTCAGACTAAAAACTTTTTGAGCAAGTTCAGTGTCCCTGTTTATAAAGGATAAACTACTGGCATGTAGTGAGGGCAGCTCTCTGGAAATGGGTGAACCCAGCAGAGGTCATTCGCCGCACCTCACTTAGCACATTATTCTGTTCTAAAACATATTGGGGGGAATTTACTAAAACTGGAGCAGAAAAATCTGGAGCAGTTTCCTATGGCAACCAATCAGCTTCTCTGTTCAGTTAAGGTTTGAAAATGTAAGGTGGATGCTGATTGGTTGCCATGCACAGCTGTTCCAGATTTTGTCTGCTCCAGTTTTGATAAATTCCCCTCATTGTTTATACAGCGCTGACAATTTACACATCAGTCCCTGCCCTCAAGGAGCTTACAATCTAAGGTCCCTACATACATACGAGAGACAATATAGACAGAAGCCAACTAACCTTCCAGCATATGTCTTTGGCGTGTGGGAGGAAAACCAGTCATATGTACAGACTGTCCTGGCAGAGAATCAGCCATATTTAGGGACTGTCCTGGTAGAGAGTCGGCCATATTTAGGGACTGTCCTTTTAGAGAGTCGGCCATATATAGGGACTGTCCTGGTAAAGAGTCGGACGTATTTGGGGACTGTCTTGGTAGAGAGTCGGCCGTATTTGGGGACTGTCGTGGTAGGGAGTTGGCTGTATTTGGGGACTGTCGTGGTAGGGAGTCGGCCGTATTTGGGGACTGTCGTGGTAGGGAGTCGGCCGTATTTGGGGACTGTCGTGGTAGAGAGTCGGCCGTATTTGGGGACTGTCGTGGTAGAGAGTCGGCCGTATTTGGGGACTGTCGTGGTAGAGAGTCGGCCGTATTTGGGGACTGTCGTGGTAGAGAGTCGGCCGTATTTGGGGACTGTCGTGGTAGAGAGTCGGCCGTATTTGGGGACTGTCGTGGTAGAGAGTCGGCCGTATTTGGGGACTGTCGTGGTAGAGAGTCGGCCGTATTTGGGGACTGTCTTGGTAGAGAGTCGGCCGTATTTGGGGACTGTCTTGGTAGAGAGTCGGCCGTATTTGGGGACTGTCTTGGTAGAGAGTCGGCCGTATTTGGGGACTGTCTTGGTAGAGAGTCGGCCGTATTTGGGGACTGTCTTGGTAGAGAGTCGGCCGTATTTGGGGACTGTCGTGGTAGAGAGTCGGCCGTATTTGAGGACTGTCGTGGTAGAGAGTTGGCCGTATTTGGGGACTGTCGTGGTAGAGAGTCGGCCGTATTTGAGGACTGTCGTGGTAGAGAGTTGGCCGTATTTGGGGACTGTCGTGGTAGAGAGTCGGCCGTATTTATTATTTATATATTATTCCGGCCAGCATTATAGATAGATGCCATTTATTATATTCACGTTTTTAGTTGGGATGTTCCATGGTACCAGTCTTTGTCTTGTGTAGAGTAAACATTCTCCATGTGGGCATTGCTCCAGCCGCAGCCAATGTGGCTTGCTGCATCCAAAAAAAATGAATGGGCTGAGGCGTGGCAATGGCAGCAAAAACGCACGTGAACATTTTAAAATGTTTTTAAACTTTTTTTTAAAATCAAAATAAAATAACTGAAATTGAAATGACGCACGTTCACATATGGCCGTGCTAAAGCAGCACTAATACAATGTGCTCCATCTGCCTCCTGCCTGACATCACATATATAGGAATAGAATGACATCAGAAAGCCCCGCCCAATGCGTTTCATCACCAGACTTTCTCAAGAGCGGTGCTTGCATCATCACCAAGACAACCTTCTGCCCACCCACATCCCCAGATCGAATCTTAAACCCTGCTGCATTGGTTACCGCCCATAGCAACAGCTGCAGTCTCTGTATCTATGACAACCACAGTAAACAAAGGCGGGTTACCTCAGGGAGGAGGCGCACAGGGCCACGGTATTAACACTTTGTGCACTGAGATATTGCTTCTCATGGTTGTTGAGGGGTACAGATATTATTGGAATCACCATGGAAGCTGTAATTTGCACTCTTAAAGATCTCGGTGGCCATTTTAGTCAAATTTGGATACAGTTTATGTAATTTATTTTGGTTGTGAAGGGCAACATTTTTTTCCACGTTTTTCATAGTTGAGGGTATGTATTTGTCAACATATTTCATATACTTCTGTGTGTTTCCTGCTATGTTTTTCACATATGTCGCTTGCGTTTGCTGCCAAGGGTTACAGATGATATTGTATTCACAATTGAAGCTGTAAACCATTGAAGCTGTGACCATTTAATGCTATTTTATATATTTTATAGAAGTTTGTTTATAGAAGTCTATTTCCAGGGCGGACGCTGTTCACACGGCAATAGCGCCCCTAGATGATGCCGACGAGTATAATACTCCACAGCGCCATCTAGGGGCACTAGTGCCGTACGAATGGCTAGTTCCATATAATTGATCCCCCTCAATGTGGGTGATTTGGGTAGCACTGTGTTTTACGTAAAAACATGTCATGAATGAAGCCAGTAGCCACTGGGATTTTGGGTTCAGTTGCCACCCCCCCTAAACCGGGCACCTTCTATGCCAGTTTCTTCTCAACCCCAAACCACACAGCTTTTGACTGTATTGACCTTACCGTATATGGCTGTGTCTGTGCTATGGACCTAACGGGGGAAAGCTCCTCTGAGAAATGATAACTCTGCATTATATTGTAATTGTATATCAATATAGGAAATAATGTACATACAGTATTTTTCAGTGAAGTAGTGCAAGGAGCAGAGAACTATGTGTAGTGTCCAAGCAACCAATGACTGTCCATCATGTATGAGCCAAATGTGGTGAAAATCCAAATCCCATCATGCATCTGTTTCTGGAAGCCATGCCTGTGGCCGTTGGAGTCTTTCAACGCCTAATAGGATTTGTAGCTTCACCACAACTACAAGGCCCAAGTTTGCCTACCCTAAACCAAATCCGTATGTGGTGACCACGCTCTGCCCCTGCCTCCCAATTATTCATCACCCTGTTGCATTCACTTGCAGCGGAGACTATAAACAGCCATGCTGACCCACACTGTGCAGGCATATCCAGCTGTTATCATCCAGAAGCTGGTCACGGTGTGCATGTAAACACAAAGAGGCCGATGGAGATAAGCAATGCAGAGTTGCAAAATCAGATGAAAATAATTGGCAGTTGTTTATGATGAGGGGTGATATAGAAAATGTAATGCCATCCAGTTAGAAATGAGATTGACTTAAATATTGATGATATTCTCTTTATAAGGATTGGAGTGTACTATGCCTCATTTTACTGTTCACTGTGAGCCTCACGTATAAAAGTGATTGATAGATGACCAGTTCTTGATGCCCGTAGCAGCCACATTTCCACATTTTCCTAGGGGCTTTCTGTTTGTTGAGGGTAAATACTGTCTCTTTCATGCACTTTTATGCATGTGGCCCAGTATTGTCGGAATCCAGTGTGTATGTTGATGTGTTCTCTTGGTGTTATGGACAGGGTGTGTCACAGCATGGGGAAGAGACGCTGTGTATCGACTGCAGAGAACAAGCCATCTTCAGGCTGCTGCGGAGTGAAGAAACCCAAACTGTGCCCTTCTCCAGCAGGCAGTGCCCAGCAGCTCCCAGCTTCTCATAACTGCCATCCCCCTGAGGACAAGACGGTGGGCCCAGGTGCCCTCACCCCACTCTCCCGTCCCAATGGGACCACAAGCGGCAGGGAGCAGTTGGTGGTGACAGCTGAAATGGGCTGCTACTGCTTTGATGTTCTGTATTGTCACCTGCATGGCTTCCCACAGCCACGTCTGCCACGTTTCACTAATGACCCCTAGTAAGTCTATCTATAGCTTCTATCATCAGTGACCCCTAATACAGACAGTGTAGTTATTGCTTCCATTATTTATTTGTCAAATTGTATACAGATGTGAACAAATATGTTGGTACCCTTATAGCTCATTGAAACTGTGCTTCATTCCTCCTGGAATGTGATCACATTTTAAAGCAATTGTCTTATATATATATATATACCTGCATGTTCTTGGTATTTCATAGAGTGAAACAGACAGTGTGAAAATAAATACATTCTTGTTTAATTTCCAAATATATTCTAAAATGGAATGAACAAATGTCTTGGGACCTCTAGAAAAGATTATAAATAATCATTGGATCATAGTGATATTTCACACTCCTTTCACATAATATCACACGTCTTCCAACTTGTAATCAGCCAGTCAGCCTATTTAAATGGCGAGTCCCTCAGCTATTTGGTATCACCATGTGCACCACACTGAAAAAGGACAGAGAAAGAGAAAATTATACACCAGCATGTTAGAGATGAAGGCCATAAGACCATCTTCAAGCAGCTTCATGTTTCTGTGACTACAGTTGCAAATATTAAGGGCTAGTTCACACCAAGCGCGGTGCAGAGCAGGTGCAGACCGGATCAAAACTGCGTCCAATGTATTCCTATGGTATTTTTAGCTCCAGTTCACATCGCAGCGTGCAGGTCCAGAGCAGGTAAAAAAAACTGCCGCAGGGCCTATTTTAGCTGCTCTGGATCTGCAAACGCATCAAAAACACATGCAAATGCCTGGAACACTGAAAGCCCATGTTAAACTAAAAAAAAAAATAATGTTTTCCTTTTTACCAAAAACGGCCCAGAACCCATAAAAAACGTGTCAAAAACGCATCTAAAACACTAGCGTGCGTGTGGAGAAACCTGACCGGATCTGCTCTGCATTTGGTGTGAACAAGGCGTAAGAGGTTTAGGGTCAATAGGAATATAGGCAGCTTCCCTAGACATGGCTGTGAGAGGAAAACAGACAGAACCAAGGAAAATTTAAAGAGATACAAACGAAACTCCAAGGTCAAGGAAGAAGACCCAGGAGGACTCTATTGTTAAAGGAAAAACCTAAATAAGCCAGACTGAAATTTGCTAAAATGCATATTAACAAGCCACGATGATTCTGGGAGAATATCCTTCGAACAGATAAGGCAAAACTGGAGCTTTTTACCAAGTCACATCAGCTGTATATTCAGACACAAAAAAATGAAGCATTCAAAGAAAAGAACACCATACCTACTGTGAAACACGGAGGAGATTTGGTTATGTTTTGGGGCCGCTTTGTTGTATCTTGAGTACTCTCCTTGTCGCACTCCTTACCGATATGTCCCTTGTAGTGGGGGGTGCTCGCAGTGACCGCGGATGGCGCCGCGAATGTCAGCAAAATTGTAGAAATGTCACCAGCACACCAGTCCTATTAAGATAGCAAAAGCTTCATCAGGGACCACGTCAATGCTAAAGCCTGATGAAGGGACCCTGCGCGGTCCCGAAAGCGCGTGTTTGGTCATATGACAAAAAACTTCAATAAATGAAGCTTTTGCTATCTTAACAGGACTGGTGTGCTGGTGACATTTCTACAATTTCGCTTTGCTGTATCTGACACGGTGCCTTGGATCTGTGCAGAGCACAATAAATCTCAAGCCTAACCAGGAATTCTGGAGTCAAACATACTGTCCAGTGCCAGAAAGCTCTGTCTAAGTCACAGGTCATGGGTCATCCAGCTGGATAATGACATACCACTAGAAGAACCCAAGAATGACTAAGAACAAAACATTGGACCATTTTGAAGTGACCTGATGAGCCCTGATCTGAATCCTATCGAACATCAATGGAAAGAGCAAAAACATGCAGTCTGGAGAAGGCGCCCTTCAGACCTGAGACATTCGGAACCGTTTGTTCAAGAAGAGTGGACCAAAACTATCTGTTGGCAGGTGAAGAAGTCTCATTGAAAGCTACAGAAATCATTGTTTGCAGGGATTGCCTCTAAAAGGTTGTGTAACAAAATATTAGTCTAAGGGTCCCATTGTTTTTGTCCATGCCATTCTCATTTGTTTTATTATTTAAAATATTCTGAATCAAAAGCCAAGTCTGATTTTTATTAAATATGGAATAAACAATGATGGACGCCAATTACCTTTTTCAGTTACAAGATATTTTTGAGAAAATTATTTTTCCATGGAAGTGTATCAACAAATTTGTCCATGTCTGTATATTGTTATGTCCTGACAGTATAAACCATTCAGAACTGGTCTGTGAAGGTTCTCATTCATCCAGGAATCCATGGTATGTCTGTAAAAATACATCAAAGCAACTGGACTTGTACTTTTCCGGAATTGAGAAGGTTAGTCGGATGACCAGCAAAAGGTCTTCCAGAAAAATACAGTCCAGTTGCTTCATTTTATTCTTGCAGATAATATAGAACTGGCTTTCAAAGGCCGAAATGGTAAAAATACACAAACGACACGCCTCAAGAGTAAATGTGGAAATAAAAGGGGTTGGTCACTTTCAGGAAGAAAAGTAAAAGTCCTCTGCGCACCTTTCACCTGCACTGTGCAGATCCAACTCAAAAACCTCATGTCGGGGGTTTTACTAGTCTCTTCTTGAAAATGGAAAACCCCTTCAAAAATAACTTTAGACCAAACCCAGAATTCTGAGCTCTGACAATCAATATTTACATGTGTCTGCTTTTTGTTTGCGAATTCATTGCTTCATTAACTTCCTTTTTATATGGTACATTTTTCATAGTAAAAAAGGATATTCAATGTTTATATTTTTTTTATGGCAGCCATCTTGAGGTGCACACAGATGTACAATGTTTTCCACCTTATCCAGCCAATTACTGTTGTATTGGGAAGTGGTTATGTCTGTGGACACTCTGTAACCTTTTGGCCACCGTATCTGACCCATTGCTGATGTTCCCAGTGTCTGGTAAGGGTACAATCAGGCAAGGTGACAAAATAATAAAACGGATGGTGCAAGCTACAAAGACATTGCCTTCACCTGCCTATATGTATACGCTGTGGCCAACAAAATGTTCTTAAAGCAGATGTGACTTATCCATGCTGCAACTCCATTTGTCACGTGCACTGAGAATGGGCCTAAAGCTACACCCCAGACAAGCAGCTATATATATATATTATATACACATACATACATACACTGTATATCGTCTCTTACCTGCCAAAAGCTTTGTAAGCCTGTTTAGCCATCATTGTTATCCAGTCTCCATCGCCAGACAGCACAGGTAGGTCGCTTGTGCTCCACAGCATTGATGCTTTGCAGCTTGGTCCAGGACCCACCCACAGTCTGCTGACTGGACAATATGGGAGTAGTAGTGCACTCACTCATCACCAGGTGTCACTTTTAATAATGCATAGCTGCATTAATTACTGTTTTCTTTAAATTAAATATTTGCCTGTAGTTTAGCTTTTGATTGTTTTGCACAAGAAAAAGCAATCCCTCCCGGTAATATACACTGCAAGGACTTCAGCACGTTTTTATATTTGGAGGAACTTGCCCCAAGTTTTTTCAAACTCCTTTCTGAATGGGAGGGGCTGTGTACATTATAAATACACAAGGAATCTCGGTGTAGTAAGAAAAGCTACAGTTTATGCATCCCAGAAAGTATCCCACTAAAGATTAAACTTCTGTTGCAGGGGATGTATGGGTAAAGCAGTGAGCCAATCACAAAAGCAGGACATAAGATTTCTTGGGAGGTCTGTATACATACTTTGTGCACAAAGCTCCCATATTGTAGGCAAGCAACATTTGCATTTTTAACAGTTTTGATATCACAATGTCTGCATTTGTGGCACGTTTCCGTTAGAGTAAATGTATAGTCTTTTCAGTTTCTTATTGTAATCAAGCTTATCAATCTGTATTTTAAAGCCCTTGTCTCTACACCTAATTTATAAATACATATATTTTTATATGGGGGCATGTTTTTACATATGCAGACTGCTTTGTGTTTTTCAGTGTTGCACAATGGTTGCATCGCTGCTTCTGCTGCTTTCATAAACTGGCCATACACATCTCCAGTCTTGATCGATTATGATGAATTGGCTGAAATTTGAGCTGTGGGTGGCCCTTCTGACACCACCCAACCCAACAAACTTTGAATTACAACAAAGGGGGGGGGAGGGGGGGAAATCAGCTGACCGGTGACTGCAGCCAATCAGGGTGCCGCTATCGGAATACAATAGCTAGCAGTGGAGAATCGTCCATTGACGCTGTTTAGGGTTGATGGAGGAATCTAGTGATTTATTTTTCTCGTTCAGCTCATTGGACTAACCGAGAGGAAGTTTTATGCCTATGGCCAACTTTACAGTGCAACTCTGTGGGCTCGGTTTATAACTGGTTCACCCGGCATATAACTAGGCGAACACCATTCGCACTGCATTACAAATGCTAGATGGAGCTGAGGTGCATAGGAAAGTTAGGATAGTTATACACTGGTTGAACACATTGTGCGTCGAGCCTTTGAACTGGTTGACTTATTCAACACAATCTTCTACCAGTGTGGCTAATATCTGAACATGCAGTGTGCCGACGGTCCAGGCTAAATTACGTAAAGCATTGCAATGAGTGAAGTAACATGCGCACCTGACTGCAAGGCTAGCCATACATGCATAGACTTCTCTCTTTCACCCTGTGGCCTGAAAGAGAGAAATCTAATAGCTTGCTTCATACAACACTAAACGGCATGGATGGAGAAATCTATTTCCGAAAGCTGGCACCTGCAAAGGTCTACATTTCTGAGCAGTGTCTGCATCCGATTACATTGCAGTCGCTTTTCAGCCAACAATTTTCCACCTGGCTCATTAAATCTTTCAGTTGACGTTTGCTGAGCCAGGTGATGCTGACTGGGCCACCCACGGCTCAAATTTAACTGCATTTCCAGTTCTAGGATACTCAAGATGCAGCATAACACATTTAGGATGAGCTGAAGTGTAATTGCTGCAGAACAGAGCACCCACCCATCATCCTTGGACAGCTGCACAATGCATCGATGTCTGTGCATCTGGATGCTTTAATCCAGGGCCTCGTGTGGAGTCACCGTTCTGATGTGATTATCTAGATCAGAGAAGCCAACATGGTTACTGTTTTTCCAGCCACTTTAGTGTATATGACAATTATACCAGTGAGTACATTCAAACTTTTATTTACATAGAAATGCAGGTATGGGAAATTGTCCTGTTTGTTATTTAAGCTCTCAATAGCATATATTTAGTTTTTTGGATAATTTCTAGTGTTCTTTTGTTCACCTCTCTTATTTCCAGTCCATTGTTTGTTACGTGGAAGGCTGGACGTGACAAGCGTCTTCGTGGCTGTATCGGGACTTTTTCGGCCATGAATCTACACTCAGGTCTCAGGGAATACACCTTAACCAGGTACCAACCTCACAACAGATTTCATTTAGCTAATTGACCTTTAGAGAAAGTGGTAGTTTATTAGAGTTTTCGTTGAGGGTTAGTTCACGCAATAAGCAGTGCGTTCCGGTCCGATTCTGGCCTGAATGCATCGCATTGCGGCCGGCTCATTTTTTTGCCGGGCCGGAGGGGGCGTGGCAGGCCATTGATGTGAATGGCACCGTAGCCACGGCCTCCGGCCGAAATGCGATCGCCCGCACGGGATCGCAAGGCACATTGTGCCTGCAGTGTGGTCCGGTGCGATCAAAATGCTGCAAGCACTATTTTGATCGCACTGCAGGCACAATGTGCCTTGCAATCCCGTGCAGGTGATCGCATTGCGGCCGGAGGGCGTGGCTACAGTGCTATTCACTTCAATGGCCCGCTATGCCTTCTCCAGCCCGGCAAAAAAGTGAGCCGGCCGCAATGCGATGAGGTGCGTTCCAGACAGAATTGGACCGGAACGCACTGCTTATGGTGTGAACTAACCCTTATGGCTGTTTTCTACCATCTGCTTCACAAAAATGGGCAACTATGTGGCTAGTTTAAAGCCCATTCTACCTTTGTAAGTAATTAGCATATATTGTGGTAATGTAGAGGTGCAGTGATGATGTATATGTATGTACGTTTTCATGACTCACTTTGCTGGATTTTATATATTTTTCTATGGGCTTTTTAGTGACCTTGCCTCCCTGTGAGACCCGTAGCAAGATTACTGCACACCATCTCTGCCTCTCCAGCTCACTCTGCACTGTCCAGGGGGTGTTGCCACTATGTATAATAATTAATGGGGGGAGAGAGTACACAGAGAGAGAGAGAGAGAGATCAGTTTCCACTGAGAAGCTTGTGCACGAGGTAAGCATAGCATTGTGAAACATTTAGTTGTTTTTTTTGTGCTCTAAATTTTAGTTCCCGCTGTGCACAGCAGCCTGTAATTTACACAGACTGTCTGCAGAGCACTGAGGCAGTCATTTCCAAAGCAGCCATGAGGAGATGAAGAGGACAGCTAACAAAAATATTAGTTTCTGTGTTCATATACAGCAACTACATACAGTATGCCTGCTTCATGTTCACTCAGTGTACATTGCTGACATTTCTTTTTGTTATTAAAAGATCCCCGCAAGGGCGGAAATGGACTTCATTGTTACACACTGCAGGAGGTTAAACTATTGGAACTGGATTTTCCAAAAACTGGGGGAAAGCAACCTTTCAGATTTCAGTTAGGGGAAAATAGAAATAAAATATCATTCTTCTTGCTTGTGAAGGGCAGTGTGTCTGTTACTTGTTTCATTTTCATTGATTTCTAATTACTTGTAATATCTGTTCTTTGTCCATCCCCTTCATTTACCTTTCGTTCATGCCCTGCCACACTGTTAGGGGGACCACTGTAAGCTCTAAGCTGGTATGGCTCGGGACCCTCAGTCACTTGACAGCACTCAATCCTGTCTATTTGCCGAACCAATTTTGCAATTGTTCACTTTATTTTTTATCATTTTGTACTTACAGCTTTCAGAGTTTGTAAAATGCCCTCCCCGACCTTACATTTTCGGAAAGCACAGGTCTCATGATCGTTGTGCAAATGTTTATCCAAATGATACATTAAAATCATTATTAGGCCTAGAAAACTTGAAAAAACAGTATGATGTATTTAATACAATGTTACACTCACAAAAGTAGGGATCTCTAAAATCTAAAAGATGAAACTATTGAGTTAATGAATAACATATATTTGTACATTTTAGATTGGTCCATTTTCCAAAATGGTAGAATATCGAAGATACACTTAACTGTAAATAAGCAACCTGCGTTAAAAATCTGGAAGTTGTCCTGACAACTATGCATTGTGGTAACATCCGATCTACAGAGCTTTGCTGGTGTATGTTGCATTACAGTGATCCATGCATACATTTAATTGCAACACAGCACATTACAATGTGGAGCAACATGCATAGAGTTTACAACACTGTGCATTTTCATAATATGTGTCAGCTGGTGTGAGTAGGTCCTTAGTGTGTGTACTCCGCAGTGCATTAACACACATAACTTGCATTACCTCAATTTGTGTAGCTCACGTGTGTTTGTTTTGTGGGGGATTATTTCTATGTTTTTAATTGTGAGATGCTGTTGGTGGCAGCAAAAAGGTTGAAGAATCAAATGCTGCGGTGTGGGAGGAGAGAGTCAGCTGCTCCCCATACTTAGAAGAACCAAGTGATTCACGGGGCTCCTGCAGGCTAACAGTGTAGAGGGAAAATAAATGAAAGGGAAGTATGAGCAACCGGATAGAACTGGCTATCTATTGTGCCTGTTACCTTGCCCTGAAAGAGTTAAGTAAGATATACACGATTAGAATTCTTTATGAACGAAGTTGATTTCACAATGTTCGTTCCAATACCTGTGAATTAATGTAGTGTTTTCGACAGCAACGGGGAAGCCGAAATCTTTAAATGCATGACATAGTGAAATACATAAATACATTTTGTCAATGTACCCTTATTGGGCATACTGCAAATATGAAAATGGTTTCTTTTATTTTTTCATTCTGCAGTGCCCTTAAGGACAGCCGCTTTCCTCCACTAACCTGTGAGGAACTTCCCAAACTGTCCTGCTCCGTGTCTCTGCTCACCAACTTTGAGGATGTAGGCGATTTTCTGGATTGGGAGGTAAGCAAGGCCATGTAATATTCTGCACTGCAAGCCTGCCTGGTAATTTTAAGGAGAAACTATTATGGTTTTAATAATGGAAATTCCAATTTCTTTTAATTTTTTTTTTTTAAGTTTTATAACCATTTTAAGCTGATGATTTATAGCTGTGCTATACTCTAGGTATCCTGTGTTTGTTTGAACAACAAGTTCTAGTTTTGTGGTAAAGCAGTATCAAGATAATGATTAAAAAAACACAGATTGTTGGGACCTTTGTCCCTCAATAGACTCTAGGAAAAGGATTTTACAGTGAGTACAAAAATCCTTTTTTTTTTTTCTTTTTATGTCCATTGAGGAACGCAGAAATTAATTCACTTTTGAGATGTCCTAAAGCAGTCCAACTGACAGGTGGACAGCACAACAAACAATTGCAAACAGGCCCAGCATGAACAAAAGAAAAACTACTGAGCACTGGATGCAGCTCAGGAGACACCTGTAGGACTTTTATGCCTGAATCTGGCATCAGATGAAGTCACAAGCTCCAATAGCTGGAAAAAATGTGGAAACAGAAACCACGTGGCAGCCTAGCATAGGGATAACAATGCTTGATGCCAAAAAGATGCAAAAACGCTGAAATAACCAGTAAAGTATTCATTGAAAAGATAAGGAGAAAAACAATCTTTTGACCGTAAGCTTGAAAGCTGGTTTGCTAGAACCACTGAGAATGGTGGAACAAGAAACCAAATCAACACAGGATCCATCTGGGATAACAAAAGGGCAAATCAGTTGCTGAAAGAGACTCGCAGCCTAAACCACAGTCAAAGAAGCAGGAGAAACTGCTCTTGAAGAACTGGTGCTGGACATAGGGAATGAGGAGCAATGTCCTGGTTGAGGAAAAAAATCGTATACTACCCTTGGCCAGAAGAGTCAGATGCCTCAACTCGCCTGATCTCATTACAGACCCAAAATTAAATGAGGTCCCTTGTATGAAAAGGCAGCCAGGTCTGGTAATCAACTTACAGAAGTGAGGGCATAAAAAAAAGAAAAACTCTTGGAGTGAAATTAAGAGAAGCAATACCTCCAATGAATTTGAGGATCTAAGCATCCAAAAATGAAATACAAGGTCCTTTTCCCTTCCTAAGACCTGAGGGGGGCCTGATATAACGATGTACCATTCGGCCTCTGTCCTTTTACGTATTCTTGATTCCACCATGCTGACTCTAAGCTCTGGAAACATTTCTCTCTAACATTGACCTACGGGCCTTGCCTTGGACTTTGCTTTCTAATACAAAGCATTTTGTTCCCTTCTCCCCCCTCTTACCTTTCAGACCCATCATCTTTGGTATCGGCTTATAACTAAAATTCCCTTCTCTGGTTATCTGGGCCCTATGACCTCTCTGTTCGATAATTTGTCATTTCCTGCAGCTGTCCGCAAATCTAGGTTTGGCCCTTGGTCAAGGTCTTCTCATTGGCGCCTGGCGCATACCTTCCTGGCTCCTTTTGCTTCTGGCCATCCCACTCTGCCTTCCTCGTGGTCTACGGCCACAGACATGATGGGAAACGATTTGGACATCACTAGCTCACCAGAAGAGTGGGAGACCTCTTTTATCCTTTCCCACAAACTGTCCATAGCTAGCAAGTCACATGAATGGAATTTCCAAATGTTTTACGTGATGGTGTCATTCTCCAGATGTTCTTCACAGAGTTTACCCATCTGTTCAAGATACCTGTTAGCGGTGTCATGATTCTCCCGAAACTATGACCCATATATGGTGGCACTGCCCCCTAGTTCGATGATTTTGGCAAGTACTGTTTGATATCTACTCCAGAGTGACAGGCTCTCCTGCCTTGGTTGATCCCAAGGTCGCTCTCCTATGCATGCTACCTGGATCTTTGAAATCAGCAAAGCGAGATGTCCTTAGTCATTTCCTTACGCCTGCTCGGGTGATTGTTTCCCGACACTGGTGCTCTCCTGTGTCACCTACGTTAGCTGAGTGGGTGGTGGAGATGAGCTGTTACTTGCCTTTGAGCATGATAGGTGGGACCGCTACTGGATGACTTGGGCCTCCTGTTTGGCATTTCGTGAATCCTTTGCTTTCGGTGACCTGGTTTGCAACCAGGGCTTGTAATTTCATATTGCGGCATTGGCTGTGTGAACAGTCTTTTCTCTCCTTCCATTTCTGCTTCCTTCCCCTTTACTCCTTTTTGGGCTATTCTTAAATGTCTTGCTTTTCTACCATTCTCCTTTTCCTAACTCTTCCTCTTCTCTTAGCTGGATCTGCTTTATTTTGGATTTTCTAACAATAACAGTACTTCTTGTTCCCGTTAATTATAGCCCTGGATTTCCTTTGTGGCATTTCTTACACACCTGTTGGTGCTCTTTTGTTGGAAACCCTCTGGAATCTGATCCAGTCTCCCCTTGGATAGACACCTCGATTCTTCTCCTATTCTTTTAGTGCTATTTACCTACATGTTCCACTACTTATATGCATTATCTTCCATTTTATAATTTTTTCATAAGTGTTTTTGATTGCTGCCGCAGTGATGAGAGGTTAACATAAAAATAAGGAAGAATCCCAGAAATTATAGTGTTAAGAGCCAAGCTTTTGTCCAACCTACCTACAAGAAAGGGAAGAGATCTCTGGAGCGAAGCACCATAATAGACCTTGCTAGAATAGCCTTCCCATCCTCAAGCATCATAAGAATCAGATTTAGAGATGATCCTGGCTCATCAAATCCAACTATCTGTTAAAGCTCACAGAGCCACAGTCAGGAGCCTCAGCATGTCAGTGAAGTACATTTGCAAGGGTCATTTCGTAACAATCAGGATCACCAGAAAGCCCATCTTCCTCATCTGTCCTGCAGACTCAAGAAGTGTTCGAGGACAAAAGGCTTGGATGTAGATGTATAGATCCCACAGAGTCTCCAGAGCATCCACTGCAGTTGAACCAGAATATCGGAGAATCCTCATCCCAGCATCCCTTACCTGCAACACAGACCCTGGAATGCACTCGGTTGTATGGACCCCCTTTGGTTCAGATGTAACCTGTTGGCAAAGCCTGTTCACTAGCTGTCCCTACCTGAGATAACCATGATGAACATGAAGTTCTGCTGAGACGAGGATACAATATACCTTTCTTTTCGCAGCAAGATCGGTTCCTCCCTGATAATTTAGCATGCCAGCACTGTGGCATTGTCCAACTAGATTCAGATCAGGTGACCTTCCAAGGGGTCATTCTAACGATGTAGTAACAACCGTCTCTTGAAACTCCAGGATGTAGACCGAAAGACGGGATTTCTCCAACAATCGGACCCCTGCATCGCCCTGGTGCCCATGTCCTCCTCCCCAGCCCAACAGGCTGGCATCTGATGGGAGCTTCAAAAAAGGAGGGAAGGAAGGACGTTCCTCAACTTCAGAACTGGAAGACTGATCCACTGGACCCAGAACTACTTGGTCCTCAGGAGCAGAGAAAACAATCTGCTCAGGTACCCTTACAACAGAGTCTACTGTTAAGATAGTCTGGGGTGAAGTTGGACTAGAGGGGCTGCCTTGAGGGTTACCCACTGACCTACGACTCTAAATGTAGCCATTCACCTATAGATTTTCTATAGATTTTTTTTTTTTCTATCAGCCTATGGTGAGATGGAAAAAGTGCAGGAGATTCCTCCATCCACACAGTTTAGCGTAGATGGAGGAATCTGTTGCACTTTTTCCATCTGACCATAGAAAATCTGCAGATAATCTTTAGGTGTATGGCCAGCTTTATGCAACAGCTGAGAGGCAGGCAACTTGCCCAAAGTACTAGAATACGAGACAATTCCAACACCAATTAAGATTTCATCCAAATTGTTGTGACACGTGGACAATCTGGACAAAGCAAAAGACGTCCAAGAGAGCCCACAGCAACTGTTCTCTTAAGAGGCAGTTGCCTAAGTGTCACATAATGGGGCTGTCAGGAGAACACAATAGGACTAACACTGGGACTAGCACCCTGCTGAACACTCGGGGTACAGAGGCAAGATTTAAAAAGCAGAGCGCTCGAAAGATGTGGACCTGTAGGTATGCACAAGAGAAGCCAAAATGTCCCCTTCTAGAAGGGAAGCAATGATGGATTTGGTGGATACCATGTACCATTTATGTGCTTACAGGCCCCAAATGAGGCAGATGTTCCCTTTTTAGAAAAGAATGCTGTGACCAGGTTCGAGAACAACACCCGAAAAAGTTGCACATCCTGTGGATACTGGAGTTACACAGGAGGCCAATTCAGCAGGTTGTAGAGTTTGGCTCATTTCACCATTGTTCCTTCCCATTAGATATGCAGAAATAAGTAAGATGATAATTATGTCCTCTGAGCAGTGGTAGTGCATTACAAGTGAGAAAACTGTTTTCTGTGATCTGATGGTTCATGAATATACACAGTACATATTCTCTTTGTGTGTAGCAAAGTTTCTTTTTATATTGTGACAATACTGATATTGTTTTCAATCCCAAGTATCCAAATGTTTTTAGTTCTGTTAATTTTTCCATTCAGGTTGGAGTCCATGGGATCCGGATTGAGTTCCTAAATGAGAAAGGAGTAAAACGCACAGCCACCTACCTGCCAGAAGTAGCCAAGGAACAAGGTGTGTTTGTTTCAGTGTCACCATGTTTTACACAGATTTAGTCCTGGTTCCTGACCATGCAGAGACAAGATGCAGTAATGCACACTTGTAATTTGAGTGTTTGCATGTTTTCACATGCATTTCCAGTGTGTGTTAGTGTGTGTTGATGTACGGCTTCTATGCCCACTTTCTCTGAATAAGCTGTTCAGTACCATTACACTGTATTGTACTGCAATCATAGGGACAGCCTAGAATATGGACGGTCACTGAATTTACCTGCTGTAATAAACCATGTATCACCATTTCATCAGCAGGTCAGGGAATTATCTCTTTGCTTTGTTATGGATTATTACCCTATAATTAATGTTGTCATGCTTTTGTTTTTTAATGAATAAACCCATGAGTTTATATGGGTTAAGGGTATTGGTTCTGTAGGAAAGCATAAAGTCACACACTGACATCGGATCACATCCAGCTTTATTGAACTACTAGGGCATAGTACACTGCAGCTTCACCTAGGACTGCCCCTCTCTAACATTTCACCCAATGTGGGCTTGTTCACAAAAAACGGATCTGACGTCATTAGTGTGCGACTTCCTGCTCTTCATAGAGAAGGGTTAGGCTCTCTTTTTGGTGGACAGAGTTTCAGTGGCAGGGGATTTTCACACAGGCGTTCTACAAGGGTATTGGCTTTGTTATATGGCACACACTCTCTGTCGGCCCTATTTATAAGAATGAAAGAATAAAACATTTTAAGTGTAACTGTGGCCATCCTTGTGTATGAAATTCATGAAAAAAAGCCTGCTTGGACAAGTGATCTATTGTGTAGTGTTTGTGAACCAGGCCCCCACAGTAAGACCAAATAAGAAGAAAGAAAAATTGAATCCTTGTAGAGCTTTTGCTTATAACAACCAGTCAGAGTGCACTGGCAGACATACAAGGAATCTGACCAGTCACTGTGGGCAACAATTCCATTTATTGTCCATTTGTCTATACATGTGTTAGGCTTTGGCATTTTTTGCCAGAGTGGCATGTGATGGCAGACTCTACATATGCAGTTTAATACTGTTTCAATGTTTCTAATAACCTACCTTGCTTTACCTATGGCACCTATTTGGGACTTCTCTATAGTTGCCACCAGATGTTGAAGTGTAACAGCCAGCTAATTATGAATCTATTTGCAGTGTGCACATACAAGTATTAATAAGACTCGTTTTGCAAAGTATGCTGGGACTTGATGGTTTCTTAACCTATGGGCATCTGCAGTTTTCCCATGGTTGGTATTTACTTGTGCTAGATGAAGATAAGAGGGAGAGAGCTTGCCCACGTCTGGAATTGGTAGAAACATATGTAGATAAGTGGCTTAGTGATTGCTTTCATTATATGAAGTGTCTGCATATCTTAATATGTATGCGTGTTTCTCCAGACTGGGATCAGATCCAGACAATAGACTCTCTGCTCAGGAAGGGCGGCTTTAAAGCTCCTATTACTAATGAGTTTAGGAAAAGCATCAAACTCACAAGGTAAGTTCCTTCACCCTAACTCTGATTGTAATAAATAATCAATTCTCATTACCACGTATTCAGGATGTCTAGTGTTATTTCCCCATGTATTATGTGTCAGCACTTTTTTAAATCTATAAATATGATTTTGCTGCCTAAGTGCAGGTTAAATATTACTGTATTTGGTCACAAAACTTTCACTGAAGATTCACACTTTTCTAATGTGTATATCCTGGGTGAAAGTTGTATGAATCTTGTGTAAATAGACCCCTGAGATCAGGTCATGATCTGCCTAACTTAACTCTGTTGCAAAAATGAACCAAAATGGTGACTGCTTACATAATCACTAACTGATCATCTGGGCTCCTCTGGAGGAACGAGGACACAGGAAGTCTTGTCCTGTGCTCTACAAGTCCCAGCATTCAACTTTGGTTGATTTTAGCAATGGTGTTAACTTCGGCAGACCATGGCAAAATGTAAAGCTGGCCATACACTGTAGTTACACCAAAGCTTTTTATTAACCATTGCAGTAGGGTTACCCCCGCACTGCAAGGGTTAAGTGCTCATTTGTGTCTAGAGATAAAAATAACAGATATACTCGCCTGAAGCTCCAAGCCAGCCAGCTGTCACAGTGCTCCCTCCAGCCTGTCTTCTCCTACAATGCACCATTAGACTGTACCTTGGTGTCCTCATGTGATGATCTGAGGGACCTTAGACCACTGCAGAGAAAGGGGAGAGACATTGGAAGGACCAGTCTAAGAAGAAGTTGGCTTGGAGCTTCTGGTGAGTATGATCTTTTTTTTCACTTTTAAACCTAGACACAGATGAACATTTAACCCTTGCAGTGTGGGGGTAGCAGAGTTATTCTTTAAAAGAATTGGATGTTTCTTGACAGAGCTGGACCGAAAATTGGCAACTCAACAGTGACTGCAGCCAATTAGTGCTGGTCAAGTCACTGTTCTGGTATACTGATAGCTGGGGGTGCCGGCTGTCAGAATACAATTGCCTGGTAGGGGGATACTTGTTCATTTGCTCTGTTTTAGCATAGATGAGAACATCTGTTAGCAGTCTGGCCAGCTTTAGTTTGTGTAGAAAAAAAGGTGTAGCATTCCAATTAGATTTTAATTAATTTGCTAAGCTCACTACATTGTTGTTACTCATGCTAGGCAAAGTGACATTTGTAAAGGATGCTAGAGACAAAGATGTGATCAGGCTGTGAGAGAAGCTGCTACAGATAGCGTGAGGGGAAGTGCCACAGATGCTAAGGCAAAGAAGTAGAAGACAGGGATGTGCACATTGTTTGGGGATGTGAACACTTTTCAGGGAGCAATGTGTTTGTGTTTGGGGGTTGTGTGCAATGATGTAAAATAACACCTTTCCAGAGTGTGAGATGTACAGAGGGAACAAAATGGGTCTTGGGGACTTGTCAACGTTGCTGTACAAAGCTCCAGAATGAGTTGGATCTTAGAGGGGGTGAAGGTGCTTTCCTTCTACATTTCTTCCTGGAGTCCTCCAGCAGCGACCTACACTACATTGCCAAAAGTATTGGGACACCTCTCCAAATCATTGGATTCAGGTGTTCCGTGAAATTTCCTTGCTACTAAATATTCCACGGTCACCTGTTAGTGGTATTATAACAAAGTGGAAGCAACTGGGAACAACAGCAACTCAGCCACGAAGCTGTAGGCCACGTAAAAAAATGACAGAGCGGGGTCAGCGCATGCTGATGTGCACAGTGCGCAGAAGTCGCCAACTGTCTGCAGAGTCAATAGCTACAGACCTCCAAACTTCATGGGGCCTTTAGATTGGCACAACAACATGCGTAGAAAGTGGGTGGTAATGGGTTTCCATGGCCGAGCAGCTGCATCCAAGCCTTACATCACCAAGTGCAATGCAAAGCGTCGGATGCAGTGGTGTAAAGCACGCTGCCACTGGACTCTAGAGAATTGGAGATGTGTTCTCTGGAGTGACGAATCACGCTTCTCTGTCTGGAAATCGATGGACGTGTCTGGGTCTGGCGGTTGCCAGGAGAATGGTACTTGCCTGACTGCATTGTGTAAAATTTGGTGGAGGGGGGATTATGGTGTGGGGTTGTTTTTCAGGGGTTGGGCTTGGCCCCTTAGTTCCAGTGAAGGGAATTCTTAAGGCATCAGCATACCAAGACATTTTGGATAATTTCATGCTCCCAACTTTGTGCAAACAGTTTGGGGATGGCCCCTTCCATCATGACTGCGCACCAGTGCACAAAGCAAGGTCCATAAAGACATGGATGAGCGAGTTTGGGGTGGAGGAACTTGACTGGCCTGCACAGAGTCCTGACCTCAACCCGATACAACACCTTTGGGATGAATTAGAGCAGAGACTGCGAGCCAGGCCTTCTCGTCCAACATCAGTACCTGACCTCACAAATGCGCTTCTGGAAGAATGGTGAAACATTCCCATAGACACACTCCTAAACCTTGTAGACAACCTTCCCAAAAGAGTGGAAGCTGTTATAGCGGCAAAGGGTGGGCCAACTCAATATTGAACCCTACGGACTAAGACTGGGATGCTATTAAAGTACATGTGCGTGTAAAGGCAGGCGCCCCAATACTTTTGGTGATATTGTGTATCTTTAAATCACACAGGAGGAAGGACCGAGTGTCACATGCCATATGAGGAAGTGGCTAGGCCTGGGACTCTCATCTGCTGGTGGGGGCTGATTATTTAGATTGGGGCTCCATTCCGTGCACTGAAAGAAAACATAGTAGACTCATCCAGTTCAAACTTGAAGTTTTAATGCCTTTTAAAAATCTATAGAATGGAGTAGAAAGGAAGACCCAGCATAGGTATCTGAATCGTTCTTGATATCCACTGCCTGTAATCCTCTCTATAGCAGACTGTAGACTGGGAGAGTGAGTTAGGACTCTATTACTTTACACTGTTCAGTCAGCCTACAGTGACCATGCCTACAGGAGAGGAGGGCACAGAAATGACCTTATCAATGTTCTGCTGTTCTTTCATTATGCCTTCATGGGCTGAGAGAGAGGAAAGGGGACTTAAGATGGCCATACACTGCTAGAATCCCCAACCCTGCCCGGCTATTGTATTCTAACAGTGGAGAGTGTACTGCTGTCAAAATACATGACTAGAGACTGCAGCTGAACTGAAGTCACGTTTAAGATAAGAATTTCGGCCCGGCAACTTTGACAAAAGTCGATTGAAAAATTGAGTAAGACATAACATAAATGAGGTATATAATGAAGAGTACAGATTTTTTTTGTCTGGAGTTCAATTTTAATAAACGTTTTGATGGGATGTATGCATAGATCTATTATCCATCATGATGGCCAATCCATGAGTATGTGGCCAGTATTGACTGAAAGCATGCCAATGGTTTTATTTAGTTGTATACCACCTTACATTTCTATGTATTTTAACATTTCATGCATCACTGTGTTTTTGGTACAGGTACCGAAGTGAGAAGGTGACAATCAGTTACACGGAATACGTGGCCTCCCGCCAACCAGCACAGCAAAATGGCACTGTGCATGCACCTCCTCATTATACGCATTACTCCTGACACAGCGCTGCCCCCACCGCAGCCCTGTCCCCCGCTCGCCGGCAATGCCTGTGACCTCCTGACATCTGACTCCTCCTCAGCGCCCTCCTCCTGGTCCAGTTACCTGTACTACTGCACCATTTTATGAGCTTCACCAGAGGGGGGAGCCGTCCCCAGAGACTCGCAGACACATGCAGCCTTACCTCACCCCAGCACTCTCCAGGGACTAAGGAGGGAGAGCTACGTGGGATATTACAGTCTCCACCAACCCCTCCAGTGTAAGGGGTCACTTCCCCCACAAAAAAAGCACTTTTAGGTTTTTACATTCTTAACTCCTTAATTTTTTATTATATAAATACGTATCTATATAAATGTCTTTTTTTTTAACCTTAAACATCCTTAACTTATGAAATCTGATCCCTTCCATATTAAGCTGGCCATATATTGGTCAAATTTCAGGCATTGAAGAAGTTGGTCCTAGAAATCTGGGCCAAGCAGTGACTGCAGATAGTCTGCAACAGGCTCTGTTCAGGTATTCTGATTTTTAGGATAGACCCGCTGGGGGATTTCCCCCATCCACGCTGTTAGCAAAAACTATCAGTGTATGGTCAGCTTTCCACTTCCCTTGATTGGGTAACATTAACTTAGTTTGGTGCTCGTATCTGGAACAACTATGCCAACCCAGGTCTGGTGCTGCGCTGGATATGGTCTGAGAGGAGTCCTGCAATGTGACAAGCCAGTGTACAAAAATCCTTTTAACTGTCACGCGAGTTTCCGTGTGGTTTTAATTGTTACATAAATCCAAATATGTATTTTACCCTTAGCATTACTATTTTGCACTTTTTAATCTTTCTATAATGGAGGTATAACAAACTACAATTTCACATTTATCGGAGTTCTGCAATACCGTGCAGCGCACACAAGCGCTCAGGCCCATATTAAACAATAAAAGTATAAGATTTATTTCGATGCTATCCTCCAAACCTGACAGCTCTGATGTGATTGGGCGCCATGGATGGCAGTGCCTGTGTGATCTCAGTATGAATATATAAGGATAACAGATTTGGAACATTACCCATGGAAACTACTATCTATTTTAAAGCCGAGCTCTACACTTGTGACAAATGTTATACTCTACAGCAAAGGTAGTCAAACTCCAGCCCTCCGGTTGTGGTGCAATTACAAATGCTATTATGCAAGAATCTAACAGAGATGACTCCGAGAGGTAGATGCATGACGGGATTTGTAGTTTCTCCACAGCTGGAGGGCCTGAATTTACCTACCCCTGCTCTACGGCCAGGCAAGTGAAATGATCAACTTATTTTGAACCGCATTCCTTCCTCTCATGGATGTACAGGTTCTTGATGTATTTATTATATCCAATGGGAAATGTTCAAATTTTGCAAACTGTAATGTGGATTTGTGGACACTGCTGTGTCTGTTTTGCCTATGGGAAGCAAAACAGTTTTGCCTACGGGCCCCTGTGAATTCCTCCTATTCTGGGAATGCAGCTATCATTCTTAATGGCAATGAACAAAATTTTAATTGCTCACCAGGCACGATGGATTTTTCAAGAGCCGGTACATACGTGTTAGGCAATGTTTGTTATTCACAAAGTTGATCAATTGATGGTTTCACTGCCGAGCTTCAATATAACAAATTAGTCAGCAGAGTAAAGTTATAGTTTAATTCAAGTTTAAAGTTACTTTTGTCTCTTTAAAAATGTTACATTTCTACATTACTGTTCCATTTGTATTCCATGAAGACTGTCGATAATGACATATTTTATGACCGTTGTTAAGCCTGCTGGTAAACTGGAGAGGCAGCTCAGGGGAAGAGTGTGCACTTGTGCAGCAGAGACAGGGAGAGAGGATGGATTTTGCACATGAAATGTCAGAGTCAACCGGAGGAGCAAGCAATGAGACAGCAATTTACTGGCCTCTCCAGCAGTAAATCTGATAAGTTCCCCCCAAAGCATATCCCCCTCCTATCCTCTGAGGAATCACGGAAGATTGTTTTTTTCCTTTCATGCTGCTCAGAATAAATTGAACTGATTAAATCAGGCAATGGAATATGGTCCTGTCTTGATTTGCAACACCTCGGCTCATTTACATTGACAGCTGTTGCTTGCATCCCTTCTCAAACTCACAAGATAACTCGTATTGTCATACTGAGCCTTATTTATTAATGTGTCTCATTGTGCTCTAGCCCCTATTCAGCTTCAAACCTGCACTGAAGAATGACCGCTGGAATCCGAAAGCGCTAATCTTTTTGGTTGATCTTGGGTAAAATGGTCAAAGTGTGTCTAAACCCAACAGCAAAAATGTTTTTTGTTTTTTTTTGTAGCTTACCAATCCTTTAACCTCTTGCCGTCCGCCCGTAGTAAAAAAACGGACGGACGGCACTGCAGCATCTGCGGGTTGCCGTCTCCAGACGGCAATTTTTTTCTGCTCGCGCGCGCCCCCTAGCGGGCACGCACGGGCAGAAAAGACCCGTCATTAGATCAGGGGTCTCAAAGTACCAGCCTACAAGCCGGTACTATGTGGCCCGCAGCCAGCTGACAAGTCATGTACGTGTTCGTGAACTGCGCACCTGACTTGAGGGAGCAGCTACACGGTCTGCATCTCTTGTAGGATGCACACCGCACAGCCACTTCTCTGTGTCAGCACGTGGATCCTTTCCGCGAGTGCTCTAAAATCCTTCAGTAAACGCTGGGCGAAAGGATGGCTTAGTAAGGTCTGTACCAGACCTTACTAATCAACCACTAGATCACCAGAGAAAGGATAGCAGGAGAGGGGGCTCTTTGTTTTATTTTATATGTGGGTGTGCGGGGGGGGGGGTATTATTTTATATGTGCAGAGGTCGTATTTTTTAGTATTCACATCTAAGTATATGTGTGATTAGGGTGTGACTTGCGTTTAGGTATAGGTGTGACTTATGTTTTCCTGCAGCAGAAATCCCTAATCTGGCTTTTACAAGCGGCGACTGTCTCCCATTCAAGTTAATGAACAGTTGACCACCGCTGCATGTAAATGCCTGCACACCGCATGTAGCGATATGATTACATGTAGTTAAGAATCAATCGCTCTCTGTGGATGCATCGATTTTGCATCCAGGGAGAGTGTTTTTATAACTGCATATAATCATATCACATGTCATTAGATGCAGTGTGCCGGCGTTTACATGCAGCAGTGGTCAACTGTTCATTAACTTGAATGGGTGACAGCTGCCGCTTGTAAACTCCAGATTAGGCATTCCTGCTGTAGGAAAACACAAGTTCCAGATGCAGGAATCCCTAATCGCACCTACTTACTGATGTGAATGGGCCCGTATTATGAGTATATTAGTGTCCGTAGTACCATGCCAGATATGGTCACATTGTATTTTAAAGTATGAAATTTGGCAAGCGGCCCCATGGGAGAAAACAATTTGTCGAGTGGTCCCCGAGTGAATTGAGTTTGAGACCCCCTGTGTTAGATGGACTAGCAGGTTTTAGATGGACGTGACAAACAAATTATAGGCAGTTACAAAAAAATTGTTTTCTTTTTTTTTTCTTTTGGGATAAAGATTTTATATAAATGAATAAAAATGAACCATTGTTCACAGAGCCCCAGAAAAATGTACAATATGTGCATAGGACTAAGCATGTTCCCCCCCCAAACACACACATGATCCATCAGTGAGCTGAATCTTGTAGGTTAAATCTGCAATAACTGCATTAGGGCCCAATAGCATCTATTGCCATACCGCTGCAACACACAGCTGCTAGGCTAAAACAAAACCCCTATGTGATAGCAATAAAGTTAAGTGGAAAAAATTTAAGATTCCAAAAAATTTTTTTAAGTTACACATAAAAAAAGAAATAAAAAAACACATTTTTTTTTTTAAAAGTCCCCACCCATACATACACGCATGCAAACATGCGTCGGGTGCGCATACCTGCGAAAACTATGATTGCGCCCATTATGCTGTACATGTTACATATCGTCGCGAATATCGCAGTGAGAGAAATAATTCTAGGGCCATCAATCACTGATAACACTAAATTGATGAGCGGTAAAAGATGGTCAGCAAGTGGTTAAAAAAAAACTAACCAATCAAGAATACCTTATGCTGACAGTTCACCTATTCCTAACCATCCCGGGTCCTGCAGGACTGTCCTGGGATGTCAACAAAATCTCAGTGTCCTGCAGATCTGCATGTGTCAGTAAGGATGGAGGGGGATAAAGAATTGGTGCTCAGTGGGGATGGAGGGGGATAAAGCATTGGTGCTCAGTGGGGATGAAGGGGGATAAAGCATTGGTGCTCAGTGGGGATGAAGCATTGGTGCCTAGTGGGGATAAAAAAAATAAACTATTAACACTTTTATTTCTGAGAGCATTCTTACTGCCTTCTTATATTCAACTGCCTAAAACGTTTGCACAGTAGGAGGGGGGAGGGAGTACGTTGGCACGTGCTTACATTGTGCCAAGCTGAACCAGTGTACAATACACATAAATCTATATAGATGGAGTTTAGTATACCTTCTGTCCTAGGATGACAACACTCACTGTATTATTGTGGCCCTAGAACATTACATATGTTGGGGCTACAGAACACATCCCCCATCTCCTCTTCTCCATAACAATAGGTGAGTTGTTCTGTAGTTTACAGAGATGGGACAGGACTGATAACATCACAAAGTGCCCAGGTTATCATAGGATCTTTGCACTTATCAAACAAGTGTAACAGTGCCGGGGGGGGGAACTTTAGTAATGGGGAATATGAAACCCAGACAGGGCTCCAGCTCTGCACAGGAATGGACACTCACAGCCCCAATTATTCCCATACAGAACAGCTAAGACGTCTGCCAACCATAGAGAGGACAGAGGAGGGGCGGAGGGGCCACAAAGGAGGACGCTCTCCCGGAACATGGCTCTATGGTCTATTACGTACGTCCGCTTCCTTAGAAGTCTACACTGTGGAGATCCAATATGGCGGCTGGCGGAGCGGAGGTTCGTTCTGTTGATGTGGAGGAGGACGCGTCTCAATTACTATTCCCCAAAGGTGAGAGGTCTCAGGAACATGTGCTGGGGGTGAATCCTAGGAGCCGGGCAGATGTGCTGGGGGTGAATCCTAGGAGCCGGGCAGATGTGCCGAGGGTGAATCCTAGGAGCCGGCCAGCTGCTGTATAAATGGAGCCTCTTGTGGTTTTATCAGCAGGTGTTCCTGGGCTCCTTACAGCTGATCTGCGCATGTAATGCTCCCACCTACCTCAGTGGTGTAACCTCCAGCTAACCATACAATCTCACTGTACGACCTCCTTTACGTTTACCCACAGCGGTATACTATGATAGTCTGCCTGAACGGAGATAAACTGGATACATTGTGTATATAAGATGTTTCCAGGACTCCCCTAATACTTCTACCAGAACACAGCGGGATGCTAGACAGGGCCAGCCAATCAGAGGCTCTGCCTGAACACACAGTCTGCCCTACAGATCTGATTGGTTCCTGAATCCCAGCTCTTGTTGTGATGACAGGGATACATTGAGGAGTGTGTGCGGTGTGTAATGAGGAGGATACACGGGGATACACGGGGGAGTGCGGTGGGGAGAAGGAGTCAGTCACATAGGGATTTGGGCAGGAATAATTTTTCTTAGGCTGCAGGAACAAGGCTGCTGAAAGTAAATGTGTCATGATGTAAATACAAGGGCTGACTAGTTGACTTTCTTCTGATTGGCACCTTTTTATGGGGGCACCGTTTCCAGCCAATCTGGTAAATGGGAGCAGCGGCTTCACGGCCGCATGTGGTGAATGGGAGCAGCGGCTTCACGGCCGCATGTGGTGAATGGGAGCAGCAACGGCTTCACGGCCGCAGGGGTAAATGGGAGCAGCAACGGCTTCACGGCCGCAGGGGTAAATGTGAGCAGCAACGGCTTCACGGCCGCAGGGGTAAATGTGAGCAGCAACGGCTTCACGGCCGCAGGGGTAAATGAAAAATTTTACCTTTTGTGGAAGCATTTAAAAAAATAAAAAAAAACATATACCAGCAGTGTACACTGAGAATACACAAGGCAGGCATATGCAGTTGCTCTGTATGAACCCAGAAATGTACTTTTTTGTTATTGGCCGACCTCTGCAGGCAGTCTGTGCAAATTAGTCTGCCGTGAACAGTGGGAACTACAATGTAGGGCACGGAAAACTACATTTCCCACAATGCTACGCTTTCCCCATGCACAAGCTTCTCTGTGGAAACAGTGGTAATGCCCCCCTGGACAGTGCAGGGTGACCTGGAGAGGCAGAACTGGTGTGCAGTGATCTTGTTACAATGATGTACATGGAAGGGGTCAGCTGCTTTACAGCCTGTACAAGACAATCCAATCCCCGTGTCAGACTGAGTTTCCTGTGGAGGGAATTTTTAATTTGCAGCATTCGGGCCTAAAAAAAAAAAAAGTCCATAAAATGTAGAAAAGCCAGCAGTGTGAGTCATAAAAATGTGCCCCCATATACATCATCACTGCACCTCCACAATACCGCAATCCATGCTAATCACTTACAAAGGTGGAATGGGCTTTAAACTCTCTTACTGTCATTGCTGGGACTATTACAGAGGGGCAGTAGGAGGCTGTAAACCAGGTCACAGCCATGATAGCAGTCATGAACTTGTTTTAAAATGTTAGTGCCAGCTCTGGTATGTACAGCGGAATCTCCGGGATCACAAAATGCAGACAAAGCCACTGTGTCAAAGGTCATACTAAATCCTTACCTATGCGTTGGGTGGGGACTCAGATCTTCTCCGTCTTGGATAGCATGTCCCCTGGGTGCTGTGGTACCTTCCACTGGGTACTACGTCACTGCTGTGTTCTCTCCTGCAGAAGGAACCATAATTCCCCGCAGTGTGGGTATGTATGGGAGAACTTTAAAAGAACATATTTTGATTTGCCTTTTATTTATTTTTTAAATAGTTGTTTTCGAAGTTTACCAGTTTTAGGTGAACGTATTTATAGGAGACTGAACAGTTACTGGTATAGCTGCAGGGGCCAGGACCTTGAAGTGCTCCACATTTTATGGAACTCATTGCTGTCTATTTTCTTCTCTCAGATTTTGAGAGTTCAGAGACGCTCCTGAACTCTGAAGTGCACATGTTATTGGAGCACCGGAAGCAGCAAAATGAGAGCGCAGAAGAGGAACAAGAGTTGTCCGAAGTATTTATGAAAACTCTCAACTACACAGCTAGGTTCAGCCGATTCAAGAACAGAGAAACCATAGCCAGTGTCAGAAGGTAAATGCATTCCTCACAGTCCACGATATCCCGCCATTTTGTCTTCTGTCCATAGTGGTTATAGAGTCTCTGGGCCCGTACTAGGAATAGAAGACTGTAGAGCTGGCTAGAGACAGAGGATGGTTTGTCAGCTCTCCGGCATCTGTGCTAAGGAGCAGATTCTACACATGAATGGCTGCATCAATCAACCCCTTGTGTTGGAGCATATTTACTTACCTGATCCTCCCATCAGTGCTCACCTCTCCCCACTTCCACTCCAGCTGGTGGGAAATCCTGCTTTTTACCCCTTCATGACTGAGCTTTTTTCCAGTTTCTGTTCATTGATGACTGACACTTTTTAAATTGTTAGGTACACATCACATGCGTGTACCTAATGCCTCACTTAGTTCAAATAGAATATAAAAAAAATGAGGAAAAACGTAAAGAAAACACTTTTTTTCCAAAGGGGAAAAAGAAGTAAATAAATAAAAATTTAAAGAAAATTGAAAAAGTTAAAAAAAATTAAATTATATAAAGATTTAAAAAATGAAAAAGTAAAAATTAAAAAATTAAAAAAATGAAACCCTGCTGCCGCCGCCATCTGCATGCAAATAAACGCATGCGTAGGACATTCTGCATCTGCATTGAGATTGCAGCTACCATTCCATGGTGGTAGCCAGAATTCTCTTGCACACACATAATGTGCATTAAAGGGTAAGTTCATTTTCCCAGGTAATATGGAAAAATAAAAATTACCCAATGAAATCTGGCCCTGTCTCTCCCAAACCGCCACCTCCTGGCTATACTTACCTTTCGGCGAACAATCCCTCCCCTCCGCTAGTATGGGTGTACTATCTGTCCCCAGTACTGCTGTCCAGCGCAGTCCTCCCCTATGCATTTTGAATTTCGCCTGCAAATTGCAAGCACTCATTGGTCAACGTGGTCAGATGACTGCACTGACCAGTGAGAAGCGCTATTTAGCACAGTCAAATATGTTTTGATTAGGGGTGCACCGATACTAGTATCAGTGCGATACAGAGTATTTGGGCGAGTACTCGTACTCACCCAAATGCTCCGATACCTTCCCCGATATTGGAACTTACGGCCAGATGAAAATTTCCTCTGACTGGCAGTGCCGTAGGGGAACATGGAGCCAGCTTCTTTTTTTTTTTTTTGTCAATTATATCAAGCAGTCACTATGACAACTTGATACTGTAATTAACTTTTTAAATTTTTGGTTATTTTTAGGCTGCTCCAAACTTAGCAACAGCTAATAATTAGAGACTGATGCCGACAGCATGTCAGAATCCGATCTCACTAAAGGTTTCTGATTGTGCCCAGACCATCAGAAGTGATACATTTCAGGCACATAGATACATTGTAACATTCCTGTGCCTGAAATATATCACACAGCTTTGTAACATGACCAGTCTATGGAGCTATCAAAACAAATAGCAGAGAGGTGACTCACTTTGCTACCTCTCAGCTATTTTAGCTGTCGAATACGGGATCACTATTCAGCGAATAGCAGTTACCAGTAGGGATGCACCGATACCGGTATTTTGGTACCGAGTACCGATAATTTTTTTGCCGATACCAATTACCAAGTAACGGAAGTCCCATTCAGGAAGCCAGGTGGCGTGTAATGGACTCGCCACCTGGCTTCCTGATTGGCCGGGAAGGTGGCTCCATGCTCTCTCATCACAAGTGACGAGAGAGCATGGAGCTGCTTCCCGGCCAATCAGGAAACCGGGCAGCGTGTAATGACGCGCTGCCTGGCTTCCAGATAGTGGAAGTAATCGTGCTAGGCATCGGAGCATTTGGGGGAGTATGAGTACTCACCCAAATACCCGGTGTCGGCACCGATATCGATACTAGTATCGGTGCATTACAGAGCCGCAAATAACTGATCGTGTACGTGGCCAGTCATTTGGGCACTTCGTGGCAGGACATATAGTGTATGTCTCCCGTCACGAAGGGGTTAAAAGACAGCTGTTTTGTCTGTAGTCTTTGGGGTTCAGTAAAGTACACATCATGTCTGCACATTTGTTCTGCCTGCTATACTTCTCTCTCTAATGTATACTGTGCTACGAACACCAAAAGTGTGCCTTCTCCTGTGCATTATTGTTTATTAAAAGTGTATAAAAGCAATAAAAGACCTAAGCACAAAGGCAGAGTGCAGGTATCATCAGAGATGGGAGGTCACAGCTTCATGTAACTCTACACATGAGACTTCTGGGGAGAGGAATAGGACCGGCAGTGACACGCTGGCTTCTCTGTCCTCGCAGCCTTCACTGGCTTAACCCATTTTCGGGGCTACAGCTTTGATGAGGGGGGCATGGTCAAGAAATCTCATCTCGTGTAGCGTTACATGAAGCTGTGACCTCCTATGTCTGATGATACCTGCTCTCTGCCTTGTATTGCTTTTATACACTTTTAATAAACGATAATGCACAGGAGAAGGCACGCTTTTGGTGTTTGTTTGCAGATGAACATGGTCTCCCTGACTGTTATGGAGCAGCCCCCCTGCAGGAAGAACAATAGAGTCTGCGTACACAGCATATTTCCGCGTGACTTCTTTCATCACAGAATTTGTGGGGGGGAAATCTGCCAGATGTTGGCGGCTTTCCATTATATAACGCAAGAGGGATTTCTAATAGTAGGTTAATGTCCGCCTGCATGGGAAGCTTGCAGCCTATTCCTGAATTCATGTGTGTACCGTATATACTCGAGTATAAGCCGTCCCGAATATAAGCCGAGGTACCTAATTTTAGCCAAAAAAACTGGGAAAAAGTATTGACCCGAATATAAGCCGAGGGTGGGAAATGAGGCAGCTACTGGTAGATAGATACCATTAAAATACACCGCTCGGAGCGCCGCACACCGGAGCAGCAGTGACGTGACGCTCGGCGAGGTAAGTAAGAAGACGCGCTGGCGCTGACTCGAGTATAAGCCGAGGGGGGCACTTTTCACCCAAAAAAATGGGCTGAAAATCTCGGCTTATACTCGAGTATATACGGTACTTGTTTTTGATAAATATATATGTGCACAGCTAATATCTGTCCTTAAGGACTTCCTCATTGATTTAGTGGTGTGACGTGTCATTTTGTTTCCCCATACAGCTTGCTGTTACAGAAGAAGTTGCACAGATTTGAGTTGGCCTGTTTAGCCAATTTGTGTCCAGAAACAGCAGACGAGGCAAAAGCATTGATTCCCAGGTATGTGTAAAAGGAAAAGCCCCGCTCCCGGGTATGTGTAAAAGGAATAGGCCCACTCCCGGGTATGTGTAAAAGGAATAGCCCCGCTCCCGGGTATGTGTAAAAGGAATAGCCCCACTCCCGGGTATGTGTAAAAGGAAAAGCCCCACTCCCGGGTATGTGTAAAAGGAAAAGCCCCGCTCCCGGGTATGTGTAAAAGGAATAGCCCGACTCCCGGGCATGTGTAAAAGGAATAGCCCCGCTCCCGGGTATGTGTAAAAGGAATAGCCCCACTCCCGGGTATGTGGCTAAAGGCATAGCCTTGCTCCTGTGTATGTGGATAAAGGTATAGCCTTGCTCCTGTGTATGTGGATAAAGGCATAGTCCCAGGTACGTGGATAAAGGCATAGCCCCCGCTCCCAGGTACGTGGATAAAGGCATAGCCCCCGCTCCCAGGTACGTGGATAAAGGCATAGTCCCAGGTATGTGGCTAAAGGCATAGCCTTGCTCCCGGGTATGTGGCTAAAGGCATAGCCTTGCTCCTGTGTATGTGGATAAAGGCATAGTCCCAGGTACGTGGATAAAGGCATAGCCCCCGCTCCCAGGTACGTGGATAAAGGCATAGCCCCCGCTCCCAGGTACGTGGATAAAGGCATAGTCCCAGCCATGCGGCTAACATAGCCCCTCGGGTACGTGGCTAAAGGCATAGCCCCTCGGGTACGTGGCTAAAGGCATAGCCCCTCGGGTACGTGGCTAAAGGCATAGCCCCTCGGGTACGTGGCTAAAGGCATAGCCCCTCGGGTACGTGGCTAAAGGCATAGCCCTGCTCCTCGGGTACGTGGCTATAGGCATAGCCCCGCTCCCGGGTACGTGGCTAAAGGTATAGTTCCGGGTACGTGGCTAAAGGCATAGCCCCGCTCCCGGGTACATGTAAGTAGTCAATCAGACAGCGGGTTGGATCCCGACAACATTGCCAGGATCCGTCCTGGCTGCAGTGCGGCTCTGTGCTGTCAGCATATAGCGGGCAATAGCCCGCTATATTCTGAGTTTTGGGTCACAGGAGGACTTTAATAAAAATATTTGCCCATAGTTCTCTATTAGGGCTTGTTCACACCATGTCCGGATTCTGTCCAGAACAGTTCGCTCCTGCACTAAAAACGCATCACCATGTATCCCTATGTGTTTTCTGGGCTCCAGTTCACACCAGCGCAGTGCTTTCCGTTCCGGACAGAAAAAATTAGTGCATGTCACATTTTTTTCTGGTCCGGAACGCGTCAAACGCACCGCACCGCACTGCAGCTAACAAAAAAAGCTAAAAAAAAGTGTATTCTTGCTCCTCTTTTGATCTCATCAACGTTGGACCAGTTTGTGGTGGAGCAGCAGAAGGAAACCCTGTACAGTTGAGCAACATGTCCCAGGAAACCGAACATTTTGTGGGCTTGGTGGAGCATGTTCCACAGCTTTATGACCCTCTGTACCCCAATATTAAAATGTGCATCACAAAAATGAGAGGTGGAGAGAGAGTGCCTCCAAGCTCCATGAAGATTGTGCAAAAGCATGACTGCGGTGAGTGATGTCACATATCTTGTATGTTGCCTGTACTGTATGCTGGTCATGTTATCCAAATAAAGTAGTACATATTTGGGGGTTACTATGCTGCAGGAAGACTTCCTATTCTTTGCAATGTATAGTGCTCTTTTGTCCCCTCTATCCATATGACACCTGGCACCCCCCCCACACTCACCCCAGCTGGCTGCTACAGCCTGTGTGCGCGCTCTTTGTCTGCAGATTGCGGTAGCCAGCACCAACACCATGCCTACAAACATGGGATACATGTCTGACCACCAGCTTTGCATACACAGAGAGAATGGTCATTATCTTATTCCATGCAACAGACTGCTTGCAATCTGTTGGTATTCTCTTCAGACTTCTGGAAGAGGCAGAGACAGTTTTAGGACCAAATTGTTTGTAAAACAGTGTCCACAAACTCCATACTATTGTCATGGTTGCAAGGAAGAGAAATCTGACTTTTTTATTATTTAAACTCATAGGTGACTACAGATTGAAATGGATGTTTTTTTTATAACTGGTAGTCATCGAAAGTATTATACGCGGATATGTAATGCTGGGAAAAAGGATAACGACTTCATTTTACTTCACGTTGGAGATGTGGATGAGTTTTTGATGTATTTTTCTGTAAAGCCAGCACAGGGACAAGGTCAGGTTGTTATTTCTATGACCACGGCCGGCAAATGCTCAATACACCATAACCTTCTGACTCCAGAGAATCGTAAGCCTCCTCTGCCTAGACCTGTAAAGGATGATGAACTGGCTAAAACAGTACAGAAGGCCTGGACTGAGGTCATTGTAACTGATTAGGACAGCGAGGGAGGACACATGGTGCTGTGCTATCTGCACCTTCACGCTTGATACTGGACAGCTAGCCCCCACCTCTTGCCTCCTCAGCGAATTGTGGGGCTAAAACCTGTGCATGGTCACATAAAGAGACACTGTCTGGGGAGATTATAGAATGCTGACGTTACTGAACACACCTTTTGAGAATGCCAATTCCCTGGCTGTCGTGCTGATGCTTTGATTTCCATGCTGTCTTAGTCACTGACCTGGAACAAATAGAGAGAGAAGAATCTTTGCCGCTCATTTCCAGCACGCTTGTTTTCGGGACTGTGTTTACAACACACCAATGTCAGACACAGCCAGGCACTTACTATTTTTAAAAGGAGGCTTACAATGGCAGCAGAGTCTCTCTGAGCAGGAAGGCCTTTCTTTGGGTGTTCCATGTTGCTGCTTGGATGATGTGAGCATATCCTAATTGCTGTCCAGTGAGGACCTCTCAGGCTAAGCGGCATGATGACATCTGATGAAGTGTTGATGCAGTACAGACTGCAGTGCTGGATCCATACGCTGTGACTCTTGGAAGCAGCCCTGGTGAGGACCACGGACCACAGAGTTAGCAGAGTAATAAGATTTACAAGGTTTTGTTTCTCCTGAATAGGTGAGAGGGGGATGAGGGCTAAGAGAGCTTTGCCCTGAGATGGGCTTCATCTCCATATGTATTTTATTGATGGTCTGTGTTCACATACTGAACTGCTAGGTGGGGATGAAGGGTGTTGGCATGATTTGTTTCCTCAATGGCTCCCCTTTGTGCTCCTTTGATTGAACAATGGCTTTTACCAGTTGTGTGAATTCCCTCTCACATCTTCTTCTCTCTGCAGTCTTGAAGGACGATTTGAGGAAGAAGAGTTACAGCAGATCTTGGATGATATTCAGACAAAGAGAAGCTTCCAGTACTGAAGAGGAAAATCTCTTGTAAAGATGGACTGATTCACTTACCTTGGGCTGCTCTTTTCCAGCTTGCCCCTTCATACCCTGAACTGGACTTGCAGAGCTCAGTATTGTATTTTATTTTGTATGGCGGTCGTTCACAACAAAGATTTTGTAAGTAATTGTATCTGCAGTGCTGAATTTTATCAGCCGGTAAATACCTGTTCATTGAAACACTGACACTGTGAGATGAGACCTCATGACCAAGCTCATTCTAGCATTTAGATCCTGACCATTGTGTGTCCATCATTGATGAGCTTTTAGTTGGGCTGGAATCTTTGGAGCGCAGTTATTTGTTTACATATCCTTCCTCACACAGGAAATAAATATGAAGATTAATGTACCCACATACATTGGTTGTTTATAAGGAAATGATCCTTTTGTATGCATGATACACATACACTGGTTCAAGTGGTGCTATAGAAATTCCTGACATGTCACACTATAACACAACAGTATAACTAAACCAAAACAAATCTGCCTGTTTGTTCTCATAAAGCAATTCTTGAGACCCAGTTAAGTACAATGATCATTCTAGGACTGTAATAATGTTGTAAACCATAGAGGGGGATTTATGAAAACGGGAACATACAGAATCTGGAGCAGTTGCCCATGGCAGCCAATCAGCTTTTATCCTTCATTTGCAAAGCTTAACGTGGTCCTTTACTCCCTTTGACTAAAAATCACATCAGCACACAGCTCTCCATGCTGATATAAAACCATCTTACATTCATTAGTTAAACGAACATATTTTTATTTTACTGGCAAGCTCTTTTTTTCCACTTCCTGGTCCACTTTGGCACAAATGATGTAATGTGCCCAAGCGTTGCATCCTGGGAAGGTTACATCAGCAGAGCATTGCTGGGAAATCTCATGAGATCTCAGGGAAAGGCATTTTCCTCCCGTGATGATGTGCATGGTCACATGTCCTAGTCACATGTGCCAGAGTTCCAGGAAGTAAAAGGAGATCTATTAATCTGCCCTTAGTTAAAATGGCCACTGTGAGAAGACTGGGAAAGAAAAGAGAAGTAAGGTATGCAAAGAATACAAAGCCGGCAATTATCTAGAAGTATCTGTTTGTAGATTGTCATTACTAAACATTTCTAAAGGTGCCTTTGTTGTTGTTTTGAAGCTATGGGTAAAGGTCCACCTTAACTGAATAAACTGAAGAGAGAAGCTCATTGGTTGCCATGGGCAACTGCTCCAGATTCTCTCTGCTCCAATATTGATAAATTCCATTGTAGCCATTGGGATTCTTATGATTGTATCATAAGTGGGTTGGCCCCCTTGTCCAAGAAAAAGATGCTGCCACTGTGCAATGCATAAATAAAGATGACCGCAGCTTTCTGGGGAGATTTTAAATGAAGTTATTCTTGGAACGAGCACTGTGATGGTTTTGAGAGTAGTACAATTCTTCAAGTGTTTGCATTTATAGGTTATGTATGCATTCAGTTATTAAGACCCCTGACCCACAGCGGACAACAGTCTTAACTCCATTTTATTGAAACCTCTTCAGACATAACACATTGTGCACAGCTTTCATCTCTCCAGGATCCATGAACTGGAATCTAATGGGAACTACTATTTTCACCAAAATGTGTTTTGCACTTGGACACGAGACCATGAACCTGCCTCTGTGTTGACTTACCAGACCTTGACTTTCAGTTATAAACTTGTTTAAAATGACAAATGTTGTTTGTATCTTTGGCTCCCTATATACAGGCTGTAACAAGTAAATAGGGTTCCCAGAGTGTTGTGGGTGAGCTAAAGGGACAGCACAACTACCTATTGCTTACAGCTCCCTTTGTGTGAATACATCTTCTGGTAGCCTTCTGATGAGGGATAAGTCACTGCTCTGATGACTCGTTCCCGTCATTCTGTAAACAAGGGGCTTTTTTTAAACCAAAAAGTGATCCTGCTGATTTATATGGGATACTAGAGATCTGACTGGACAGAAGATCAAATACTATACCATGTATCCTTTTTAACTGACAACCAGCACATCTAGGCTACTTTCACACGGGCTGATCAGGAGGGGGTTCCATGCATGGAAGCCCCTCCCCTGATTGGAGCAGTACGGATCAGATGTCACCAATGATGGAGGAAGAAACTGAAATGACCAGACCCCATGTCGGCCTATGGGGAATCGGATGTGCGTCTTGGACATTGCTCCCTAGCCTCAACCTGACTGGCCATAACTGTTATCTCAAGGACCGATCTTCCACACTGCTTCTCATTTTCTGCCGTTCATGGCCTGACTGTTGAAACCCATGTTCTAGGAGACTGGGGCGTTTCAGATTCAATTGTTCGAACCTTCCTTAAAGCTTGTTAGCCGTCGTTCACACCTGAGCGTTTTGTAGCGCGTTCTACGTTCGACGAACTCTCTACAAAACGCTCAAAAATATAAATCCCATTGTATTCAATGGTCTCGTTCCCACCTTGGCGTATTTCCGCCCGTCCCTAACGCATTACAAAATGGCCCACGCCTTATAAGGTACAGGTACTACTTTGGGCCGTTTTGTTGCGCGTTTTCATTGGGCTACAGCCAAGTAGCCTTCGGAAACGCGCGACGGTCGCGCAACTTTTTTAGAAAAAACGCGCGACAGACGCGCATATGCAATACGCCTAGGTGTGAACGAGACCTAAATCTATGTGGAAGATGTACTTTCACTAGTGTGAATCTCTATGGTGAGCATGTGGCCCTAACAAAAAATGTTGGCCCTAAAGCTGGCCATACACCTATAGATTATCTGCAGATTTTCTCTGGTCAGATGGAAAAAGTGCAACAGATTCCACCATCTACGCTAAACTGTGTGGATGGAGGACTCTCCCACTGGGCCAAGCTTCAGTATCTTGTTAGTTGGCCCCGCTGGCTGTTCAAATACCTGAAATCTGATTGGATGCAGGCATTGTTCAGGTGCCTATCTATCAGTCTGTATCACTATACAGAAGACAAAAAGAAAAATTGGCATCACAGCACTTGTATTCTATTCAGAACTACTATGCCCTCTGCCGCAGTGGCTGATGGAAGTTGTAGTTTCTCCATTCACAGATCCTGTCAAAGGATCTGTCAATGGATGATGCGGCTGGATGATTGAATGAAACTACTGAATGGATTATATCAGCAGCCTACAGAGAATAACGCCAGGATTCAGGTAAGGGGGGGCGTGCAATGTGGCCATGTTTCATGTTACACCCTGAATATGGCTGAAACATTGTTCAAAAAGTAAACAGCATTTAAGTGGTGAACCGTACCCCAATACCAGCATTCAACAGAGTCCCATACTCTCCTTTCTTCTGTATGCTTTATATTATGCTACACGTATGTTCTGTGATTCGTAGCAGCACTCGGCTATGGGAGGTGTGGGCACTGCTGCTGTTTATAGCACATAGCCTGAGGTTATACAATGTGTATTGGTGAGTTTTAACATTCATGTCCATATCCATTCTGGCACATGGTTTACTTTAACGGGGAGGAATTTCACATTGCAGCTATTGGGAATAAATATCTTGCTTACACATCAAAAACAGCTCATAGTAATTAGCAGCGCAGACAATATATTGCTCTTCCCATTTCACTGATTCTTGGGGGGAGGAATCAGCACATTCCAGGCCCAAGCTTTTTTATAACAGAGCGGCCATAAAGGACGGTGATTTATACCCAGAAATAGGACGTGCAGGGCCCGGGACTTCAACTTCATTGCCTTAAAAGGTGTGAAGGATCGGTGTTATTTAAACTATCTCCAATACTTTCACAACCATCTGCCGCAGTGTGTTTATTCCTTTCATGACAACAGAACTGTGAGAATTCAGTACTCTGAGTAGAAAATGTTTCCGGCTGAACTAGTTACCCAACGCAACCGTTTCAATGATGTGCATTTGAAGGCTAAAACCTGATTGGTTTCTATAATACTGCTCCAGTCTGGTTTCAGCTTTCTTTTCTCCTTTCTGTAGATCAGCCACATTGCATTTTGTAAGTAATGGATTGCATGCAAAGTCTGTTTTTCTGGATTGTGACATCAATCTGACACCAATGTTTAAATGACCACTGCAGTACATATGCAATATGGAGTTCTATTCACAAGACATTGTTATGTAGATATCAGGGACATTGGTTACAGGGAGAATACTCAAAGGTGGGAAATGTTGCACTCAGTGCCATATACTGTAAGGCTGGCCATACACTGTTTGCTCAAAATCATTTGTCAGATCATTCGATTTCGCCATCGCTGAGTCAACTAATTTTTTTTTAAAGCCCCTTAAACATTTTGTCCAGAGCTGCTACTTGAATGGAATCCCAGGCATATTAAACAGGTTTCCTTTGTGCCTAGCACATGCACATTAAAATACGTACGAGTTTTCCCCAATGAAAATCATGTTTGCGGTTAGATTTGTCCCCTCAAAGACATTTCCATCCAGACCTAAATAATTAGTACAACGAACAAACGTTCAGAAAATTATAATTTAGGAACAAAATGTCACTGGTGTATGGCCAGTTTAAAGTTCTACAGTCCCAGCATATCCGATCCTGTTATAACATCAGCATTGGAATAGGGATATATACAAGAGTTGTTTTTGATAATATAATCACAACTTACTGGAAAAAATCCCTTTTATGTAGTGAGTGCTGCCTTCCGTCTGCCCATCACTTTCATCAACTCCCTGGAATCCCAGTGTGCTTTGCATCTCTTTCCCTGCTGCTTGATGTGATGCAATCTCAGCTTTTCAAGAGTGCACATCCCATCATGCATTGCTTCCAGCAAGCAATGATGATGTTACATTGTGGGATGTTGAGTTGTAGTTCAGGAGGCAGGCTCTGTGAGAGTTCTGACACAAAGTAATGCATTGTCACAGTGCTGAGTGAAATTGTATCAGTGCATTGAGTAAGTACATCCTATGGGCATCTTTAATAAGTAAATTTACAAACTTCCACATCAATCTGGTGATTTTAACACATTTATTTTTAGATTTTGACCATACATACCCTTAAAGACGAGCCCTGTCTGACCTATTGTATGGCCTCATGCCATAAAAGTCAAACCTATCTGATCATTTTCTCCTGATTAATAATGGGGTTTCCTGCTCTTGAGATTGAAGCTGAGATTGAGTCCTGTTCTTTGAGCCATAGAGATTCTAATTTATGAAAATGAGGGATTCATGGATACCAGTTTTTCGGTATCGAGTATTGATATTTTTTTTCCAGTACTCGACAATGCCGAATGCCGGTATCAGAAGTCCCATTAAGGAAGACAAGCGGCATGTAAAGAATCGCCACCCAGCTTCCCAATTAGCAGGGAAGCCGCCCCCATGCTTCTCATCACTAGGTGACGTAAAGGCATGGAGCCGGCTTTCTAGCCAATCAGGAAGCCGGCTCCATGCTCCCTTGTCACGAGGTGACGGGGGAGCATGAAGCCAGCTTCCCGGGCCAATCAAAAAAGTTGGGCGCCGGGTTATTACACGGCGCCCGGCTTCCCGATTGCCCAGCTTCCCGACCATCCAGAAAGGTGTGCAGCGAGTCATTACACGCTGCCCGGCTTCCTGATTGGCCGGGAAGCCGGCTCCATGCTTCCTCGTCACAAGTGATACTGGAAGCTGAAGTATTGGGCTAGGTATCGGAGCACCAAATACTCGGCATCGGCACCGATACTAGTATCGGTATCGGTGCATCCCCTCTAAAAATCCTAGTGAAGTAATCCTGTTTCACTTATGGCACTCAAATTTCAGCTGCAATTAATACATAGAGATGTGGCACATTATATGAGAAATAATAGAAAGATTCCTCTGAAACTCATTTCATAGACGTGAAGTATGATGCTTACAATATACAGTATATATTGGATGACCTGTAGGTGTGTTTTATTATCATTAGTGAAGACACGTTTTGACACTAGGTACAGTTACTGAACCTATTTATCCACACGTGCCTGCACATTCCCTTTCCTATAGGATATTGTTTTATATTCAGATATAAAAACAACCACAGTGCTTCTACTCCAAGGATTTTAAGGGAAACTAACATCCAAAGTGTTTGGTATTGTTCTGAGTTGAAAATAGAGACGCTTGGGAGTCACTCCAGCAGTGAACAATACTTTACAAGGCAACGCAGCTTCAACTTCAGGACAAACATCCAAATGTAGATGTAAAAACATCCAGCCAAATATTCCCCTGGTAGTATGTGGCACATGGAGAGGAAGTTCCGGCTCTTCACTCCCGCTGATTTCCATCCTGACTGCTTTGCTCCTGCTGGCATTGAACAGGTTGTAAGGTTTGTGCCCAGCATTAGATGCACATGTACCTGGCGGATCAGAAATAGCTTATGATGGTACCTGCTGGATTTTAATTTGATAGATTTACCTACACAAAAGCAGCAATTTATACTGATTTCCCCTTACATCCTGGATACATATTATTTTACATGACTAAGGCTCAATACACAAAGCTTTAAACAAGGAGAAGGATTATTAATTCAACCATGTGACTTCAATTTTTCAATCTTGACGGCTAAAATAACCTTAAGGGCTCCATTTATTAAAGTCTCCATGAGGAGTATTGGCGCATGGGGCAATGGTCCCATCTGTGTACTGGGGTTTTACTTAAAGTGACTAAATTTAGGAGTTAAATGTTAAAAAATACATTCAAGTACCCTGACTATTAACAAAAATGTTTTACTTATTTGTGTATCACTCAGCTGTAGATCCTCAAATCATCTCTGAATTGGTGCTGACACTGTCCTTCCTTCTGGAGGGGGGCTACTTTTGTTCCCCATGGTTCCTGTGTGTGTTGTAAAGTAGTCACCGCTCCAAGCTCACTCCTGTGATGGACTACAATCCCAATACAAATTAGTAAACTAAAAGATTGTAGTCATCACGGGAGAGAGCGGTGGCTACCTTCTGAGTTTAGTGACACTTTAAACTTCTGCCCGGCGTATAGCTGGGTGGATGCCGTTTGCATGGCACTGGTGCCCTAGATGGCACTGACAAGTATAAGAATTTCCTATACAAGGTTTATAAATGAAGCCCTAAGCATCCTTCTAGTGTGTTAGCATCAATGTGTATCTAAATCCATGTACAAAAAATATTGCAGCTTACCAGACCTTAGATGTGCTGGCTCCATTAGTTTTCTTCAGGCTTCTGCCAGTAACACACTTCCTGTTCTAGGGTGACAAATCTCACTCACCATAGAGGAGCAGTTGTCATCCTAGGCTGCTCCCCTGATTTAGACAAACAGCTTCTCCTCTCTTCATCTCCATTATATTCAGAAGTGTCCTTTAGTTCACATGTCATAGCTGGAAAAGCTGACAGCATTGTTTGAGATATCAGTTCAGTGCACAGGAAGTTACAAGGACACTATCATTCTGGCAGGATCAATGAGTATATTTCTGTACTTGCAAACTAATGCAGCCACCACACCGAAGGACTGGTAAGTTGGGTTTAGATACACTCCTAGTATTGTAAAGGAAGAGTTCATAAAACTAAAACCATGGTTTCATGTATAGTAAAAGTAGCCATGTGTTCTCCTTGTAACCCTCATTGTAAGGTTAACATTTCCTGGTGCAGAGCAAAGCTGAAGTGAAAGAGCCATGACCTGGAACAACCAATCAAATGTGCTGAAGTCATTTGATTTAAAAAGAACATTGGATTAAGCTGGCCATACACTATGCAAATTTCGCATGGTTCTTGATGAACCGGCTGAAATGAACACAGTGGGTGCTGCTGTTGGCACCCTTTCGGCCGGCATCCCTCGATCAGCTGACTGAAGGAGCCGGTCAGAGAATCTTAGAACAAAGAAAAGCCGGCGGCCGATGTCGGAACACAGTGAGGGCAGCTGGGATTCCTCGATCAACGCAGCTCATACCATTGATGGAGGAATCTGTTGTATTTTTTTAATCAGCGCGCAGGATGAATGAAAAGACTAGAACTATAACCGTTGCTGTGTTATCGGATAATATAAACGGATAAGGAGTGGTCTCAGATCCACTTGCAGTTGGTGTTAGAGGACAAATCTGAGAGTGAAACTTCCTATGTTGGGAATACAAACACATTGCCGAAGATCTGTATCTGGAAAGGTTTGCACTTGATGGAATGGCTCTTTATGTCATTTCATTTTAATCCGTTGAATAATATAGAGCTTAAACTATACCTGCAAAGGGAACTATAAAGAGAGGTTGTATTTTTCCAAACTGTCGTATATTAATTCAGAATATGACCATGAATTACACACAGGAACTATAACAAAGTAATACATCCTAGTGAACAGTGTAGACTAGCATTAGGGAGTGCTACATATCTATATTCCATCAGCAAATCCACTAGAGGGAGCCACAAATACAATGTTATCCCTGATGTAATCGCAGCGGGATTATGATCATATTACCCCCTCGTCTGATTTCAAGCGGTGCAGACGGAAATAGAAGGAAGTTACGCTTTTGTTCCAAACAACATGTCCTTCCTAGAAAATGATTATAAATAGTATAGCGGCCTCTGAAAAGGGCAGGCTGACCTTACTCATCAACAAAGCTAGAACCCACACATGTGCTTTGTAAAAATAGTGGAATGCATTATCATTTCTTCCCATACACAAAAAGCATTTTATGCAGCTCACTGCAACAGCTGAATGCCCAGTTATGTGTGGCCGACTCCATTCAACTGGCAATAATGCAATGTATACTGTATTACCAGATTACAGACCTGATAACGCTGACAGCTTAGTGTGTTCACATGAGAGCATAGAGCCAGAGTTTGCTTAGTAAATGGACCAGTGAATGGAATCCCACAGGACACTGGCTAGTACCATAGTCTATTCAGAGGAAACTGGTGGGTCATTGTGTGTCAGACAAGGGGGTCTTGTTGAGACCATTGTTTGCAGAATCTGCAGTAGAGCTGTGTTCTTTGGGTTGGACATCTGCAGCTTCCTCCTGCATGGCTGTAGCGTCACCATCATGTGCTGGATGCTGCTGGCCGGGAGTAGCAGAGAAGGGGAAGCGAAGCCTGAAGTAGTCAATTCCTTGGAGGTCAGCTGGAAGAAACATAGAAATGAGGATGTGGGAACTTAGACTTGTCTGCAGTAGTTGACACTTGCCCATTCATTGGAGACTGCTGCTGCACAATGTGCATGCTATTATGTAACCGAGTACAATCAGGTATTAGGTGTTTGCTCCCCGTTCTCCTGGATATGCCTCCCTATCACTTATGTATGAGTACAGACAGGGCACCGATGTCTGCATTCTGCACCCTCCATGGCTCCCATGCATATAGAACTGCTAGAGCCACACACAAACCTCACTGCTTACCCTCCTTTAGCAATGCTCTTAAAGTGTAACTGAAACCAAACTTTTTTTGTTATAGTATTGATAGAATGGAGAGGGATTAGAACACCTGTCAGCTTTATTTATTGCTGCCTGTGTCCAGTGGCTTCATAAGGGGGGTGCGAGAAGGGGGCACCCGGCAGCATACCTGATCCCGCCGGGTCAATATCTCCTCCTTTTTTTGCTGACATCGCCAAGATGGCTGCTGGCAGTGAAGTACATCACGTTGCAGGACGACGTCACACCACGGATGTCATAGCGCAGGCAGGGCGGCTGCACCTGGTGACACCCACCCTGGTGCCGCCACTCTCTGTGTCTCCGTTAGGGAGATTCACCGTCACTATTTGTCCTGGTGACCGTTATCATCAAAAGTAAAAGAAAATCCCAAATTTTGGGTTGTCATCAGAAAAGGAATAGATGGGAAATCTTCTAATGGGGACACTAGTTCTGGTGACCCTGCTGACCCCTAGGAATTCCCCTCTCTTTAGATGGTTTTTATCTCACTTCCAGTTGTGGCTATTGGACAGGAAGTGAAAGAAAATATCCCCAATGTGCCACAGAGGGCAAAAAGAGCCGACGTGGGTTTTAACCCTCCCTTACTCTACCCAACACTGAAAAAAATGTTTGGGCTTCAGTAAGTGGGTTCAGTAAGTGAGTGACGGTCAGTGGTCATATGGGCTGTGAAGGCATTCCACCACACCAACTGCTTTTACTTCTAGCTCACCTACGGCCATAATGTACAAAAGTAACTAAACACACAGCATAGGTTCCTGCTCCTGGCACTTGCATGTAGTTTTCGACTTCTATTGAAGCAACCAGGGACCTAAGAAAACCAGGTGCTCTTATGTACAACAGAGGCCATCTCTCATGGTTGCCGCCTCTGGCCCATACCCTCCTGCACCATATAACTTGTTGGTTATGGGTGTCCATCATAATGGTGGGAGACCCAAATCATATTCAAGCACCTGGAGATGTCAGGAGTACTAAGTAAATATCAGTGTCGCAGGCGATCTTTAATAACCAAAGCCACGTCTAATCATGTTTAATTTATGGGTAGGCACAAATGGGTTGTAACACACCCTGGCTTCCTATATTTCTTGCATACCCCTGTAGAGAAAGATCCCCCTCAGTACTTTGTGTTAGGCCAGAACAAAGGTGTCATTTTTTTATGCAGTTGGACTGGTACTTGACCAATAAAGTAGTTGCCATGTTAGCCAATATGTTTAAACTCTCCAATGAAAACATGAATCTGCTTCATTACAATGTGTTTGTTCCTCAGTCATTTTTCTCCATGTTTTAGTGAATCAGCCTTTATAGTCTATGTCTTGGAACATCCAGAGGAGCTGCATAATGGCCGTGTCAATCAGATGGAGCTGAGAATCATTCACTGGACTCCCAAAGAGATATGAGAAGTCAGTGTAAGATTCAACTGTAAGAAATTGAAAACTCACTCATAGGTGGATGTGGGCATATGTGGAGTTGGTTTGTTGTGTTTAAAGCTCTGAGCTCAATAGCTTTCATTTACACATTTTCCCTTAATAACCAGAAATGATATACATCCACTTTATGTGCACCAAGCACCTTCACAAACCCAGATATTGCCTTATAAATGTAGCAGTGACATAGCTGGTGCAGAGAGCAGAGTTGTGGGACGGAGGAACCCACTAAAGGCTGCCTGCAGGAAGACAAGACCAGTTACCCTGCACAAGGAGAGAGAGCTGCAGTGACTGGTCTTTATTACAGGAGGGGGCAGAGACAAGACCAGTCACCCTGCACAAGGAGAGAGAGCTGCAGTGACCGGTCTTTATTACAGGAGGGGGCAGAGACATGACCAGTCACCTTGTACAAGGAGAGAGAGCTGCAGGGATTGGTCTTTATTACAGGAGGGGGCAGAGACAAGACCAGTCACCCTGCACAAGGAGAGAGAGCTGCAGGGATTGGTCTTTATTACAGGAGGGGGCAGAGACAGGACCAGTCACCCTGCACAAGGAGAAAGAGCTGCAGGGATTGGTCTTTATTACAGGAGGGGGCAGAGACAAGACCAGTCACCCTGCACAAGCAGTGACCGGTCTTTATTACAGGAGGGGGCAGAGACAAGACCAGTCTCGCTGCACAAGCAGTGACCGGTGTTTATTACAGGAGGGGGCAGAGACAAGACCAGTCACCCTGCACAAGGAGAGAGAGCTGCAGGGATTGGTCTTTATTACAGGAGGGGGCAGAGACAAGACCAGTCACCCTGCACAAGGAGAGAGAGCTGCAGGGATTGGTCTTTATTACAGGAGGGGGCAGAGACAAGACCAGTCACCCTGCACAAGCAGTGACCGGTCTTTATTACAGGAGGGGGCAGAGACAAGACCAGTCTCGCTGCACAAGCAGTGACCGGTGTTTATTACAGGAGGGGGCAGAGACAAGACCAGTCACCCTGCACAAGGAGAGAGAGCTGCAGGGATTGGTCTTTATTACAGGAGGGGGCAGAGACAAGACCAGTCACCCTGTACAAGGAGAGAGAGCTGCAGTGACCGGTCTTTATTAGAGACAAGACCAGTCACCCTGTACAAGGAGAGAGCAGAAGTGATTGGTGTCTATTACAGATGCTGTTTCATGCTGAATTACCCATAATTAAGGGAAGTAAATACTAAAAGAACCCCAATATTCAACTAACAATACACACATCTCTTGTGTTTGGAAAATATTGGGTTTGCCTAGACTAGAGTTTAGGTTTAAAGCAGACCTTACAATCCATGCAAAGTCCTTTTTTCCCAATATGCCTAAGCAATAAAAAAATAGAAAAAACACCTCGAAGGGGAAAAATGTAGATAATATCCTTTCCAGCGGCTTCTACAGTGTATTGGATGGTTTCCATCACCTTGCTGATGAGATCCCGAGAATGCCGAATATTCTACAGTGTACAGTGTAGGATCGTCTTATGAGATGTGAGCTGTTCACCATTCCCCAGGCTCTCACCAGAAGGGCGATGACTTCACTCTCACCTAAATGTCGCAGGCGGAAGTCAGGGGAAAGGATATGATCTAACTTCCCCCCACAAGGGCTTTTTCTATCATTTATTCAGCACGTTCATAAGGAGTAGTGGGGCCACGATTAAAAGCAGACCTTTTATGTGCAAAGTCTTCTTTAAGGATCAATTTTTTTCCCATAAGTCTTTTAAGATAAATGATAAGATTATGAGACAGCAATGTTTCTATCTTGTATAACAATCTACTTACCAGGAGTGACCAGAGGGCTTAGCGGATCCTCATACTGTTGAAAAGCATCGCTGGGTTCCAACTCAGTAATGTCCAGAGGTTCTGACAACTCCAGAGAATCAATATTCACCTCCATTGATGACACACTGTCCAGAGGAGCTGCAAAACACAGAGGAATACATATACACTATTTAAGTATTTTCCTGCACATCCTCAATCATACCGAGGGCAATTTATCAAAACTGGAGCAGACAGAATCTGGAGCAGCTGTGCATGGCAACCAATCAGCTTCTCTATTTCATTTTCAAGTCTTAACTGAACAAACTGAAGAGAGAAGCTGATTGGTTACTATAGGCAACTGCTCCAGATTCTGTCTGCTCCGGTTTTGATAAATTGCCCCATAGTCTTTACGCATATGAAAATATGATGATTTCTTTTGCTTTTAAGGTGCAAATTACAAAATTTAGATTGTGTCTCTGACCCGCCTACTTGTGTTACTTGCTGTGTATTACAAGTAACACCATGGCAGGCACAGTGATCAGATGTATTATGGTCCTCTGATGTTGTTGGCCAGATTAAAATGGCCTCAAACTGCAACCTCAGCGCTAATGGCGGCCACCAGAAATCCTAAAGATTATCTTCATGAGCATGCATTGTCTTGTCATGTCTTGTGTCAGAAAGTTCTGGGTACTTAATAGTATTTATTTGAGAGCTTTGTCGATAAAGGGAGGTAAGGGGTAAGAGGTTTTAGTTTTGGACAGAATATGGTATGGATGGGGACCATTCACACCCTAGCGAAACACCCACCAAACGCAGAACACTCTTGCAGTGCCGTTGTGGCTGAGTGAACACGCCTTTTTCCATGCATTTGCATATGTGGGAATGCACATGGACATGTGGGAAATGCATGCAGCAGAATTTGCTATATGCACTACTTTCCTGCTTTTGGCACACATCCAGGAACCCATTGAGGTCAATGGGGATGTGCGCCATATGCGGGAAACAAATGCCAGCGAACGCACAGGAACTTGCATCACCACGACGCGTGTTCCTGCTACTCTATGGTGTGAATGGGGACCAAGGGAGGGTTAGAACCCTGTGACATCTGTGTCCCATTTTCCCTCACTTCCTGACCAACAGCCACAACAGGAAGTGAGAAGAAATTACTCAAAAGTGAGGGAAATCCTTGGTAGTTGGCAGGGTCACAAGAACTAGTGTCCCCATTGGAAGATTTCACATCTATTCTAGTTCTGATGGCAACCCAAAATTTGGGATTTTCTTTCTTTTTCAGTGAAAACAGTCACCAGGGCAAATACGCTAAATCTCCCTAATGGGGACACAGACATCAATACAATCCTGACAGGTGCTCTAATCCCTCTCCCAGTGGTGTCACAAGAGGAGTGCGGCTTGCACTGGGTGACACCATCAGAGACTGTCAGTCATTTTGGAGTCACGCCCTCTGAAAAGTTGGGCACTCGGTCATGGACCACGAGCCCTACAGAGGAGGGGTCCCAGTGGGGGTCCCAGTGTCATACCTTATCCTACCGTATGAACATCCCCTCCTCTTTTTGACGGCGTCCATCACCAAGATGGCTGCCGGCAGTTAATTGCATGTGATGTGATGATGTCCCAGCGGGTGACGCACAGTGGCTGCCCCAGGTGACACCCGGCCTGGGGACACCTTTGCCCTCTTCACTCTATTCAAATCTAAAAAATAAATAAAGGGTTTGGCCATTTAGCTGCCTCTTGAGTTAAATCTCTTTACACACATAATGGTTGGCACTGATTGGTTGAGATGGCTGCTTAGTTCTAGTATAGTATACATAGACAGGTACTCTACATCGACTGAGAAGCTGTCATGGAAAACATCAGGCGGGCTGTGAGTCACATGTGACTCATGAGTAAGATTGGGGACCACAGATTTTCCAGATTTACAGAAGTGAAACCAAAGAAAACCGAATCTACTAAACAAAGCGCTCTGCCTGCTTGGCTGGCTGCTCATTCAGTTCAGAGCCCTGTAACTGTTCATCAAAATCCTTGGCAATTATTAGCTCAATAAGTTACAAGCACGGCCTTTTCAATGTATTTTAGCCTCAGACATTTAAAGTGACACTAAACTCAGGAGTTAAATCTTAAAAATACATCCAAGTTCCTTAACTATGAACAAAAATGTATCTTCTTTGTGTATCACTCGGCTGTAGATCCTCAAATCATCTCTGAATTGGTGCTGACACCGTCCTTCCTTCTGGAGGGGGACTACTTTTGTTCCCCATGGTCCCTGTGTGTGTTGTAAAGTAGTCACCGCTCCAAGCTCACTCCTGTGATGGACTACAATCTCATGTTTAGTTTACTAATTTGTATTGAGATTTTAGTCCATCACGGGAGGGAGCTTGGAGCGGTGACTACTTTACAACACACACAGGGACCATGGGGAACAAAAGTAGTCACCCTCCAGAAGGAAGGACGGTGTCAGCACCAATTCAGAGATGATTTGAGGATCTACAGCCCAGTGATACACAAATAAGATACATTTCTGTTAATAGTTAAGGTACTTCAATGTATTTGTAAGATTTAGCTCCTGAGTTTAGTGTCACTTTAAAGACTAAAGCCAGTTTCTTTTGTTTAGAACTGCTGTAGAAGAATGTAATGTTGCCTCACACATGACAGATTCACCATAAATACTCTTTGAAATGCTTGTTATCGTTAAACATTTCTCTACATCTGACTGGAAGGAGGATATCACCTTATATCCTGTGTTTTCATGAACAATGTGCTGCCATGTTCCTGTACTTGTGGACTTCTCTTCCCATGTGCTTATTTATTCAGTGTTACCAGGAAGGTGTTTTACTTCTTTCTCTTTTTTCCTGGAAAACAATATGATGCACCCAGAGAATAGCACACCCCGATCCGGGGGCATCCAGAAAATAGCACACCCCAATCCGGGGGGCACCCAGAGAATAGCACACCCCAATCCGGGGGGCACCCAGAGAATAGCACACCCCGATCCAGGGGCATCCAAAGAATAGCACACCCCGATCAGGGGGCACCCAGAGAATAGCACACCCCGATCAGGGGGCATCCAGAGAATAGCACACCGCGATCCGGGGGCACCCAGAGAATAGCACACCCCGATCAGGGGGCACCCAGAGAATAGCACACCCCGATCACGGGGCATCCAGAAAATAGTACACCACGATCCGGGGGCACCCAGAGAATAGCACACCGCGATCCGGGGGCATCCAGAGAATAGCACACCGCGATCACGGGGCATCCAGAAAATAGTACACCCCGATCCGGGGGCACCCAAAGAATAGCACACCCCGATCCAGGGGCATCCAGAGAATAGCACACCCCGATCCCGGGGCATCCAGAAAATAGCACACCCCGATCCGGGGGCATCCAGAGAATAGTACACCCCGATCCGGGGGCATCCAGAGAATAGCACACCCTGACCTTGGCATGGGGGGAGGGCTGGATAGTTGTGTTAACAATCTCAAGTGAAAAGTGGGGGAAGGTGCACGGGCGGGAGGAAATATCATGACCTCAGTTTTGAAATGATTGAGTTTTAAGAAGTGTTGCGACATCCAGACTGATATGTCAGTTAGTAGATTAGTGACACGCAAGGACACTGAGGGGGTGAGTTGCGGAGTAGAGAGATAGATTTGAGTGATAGAGATAGATAGAGATGGTATTGGAAGCCATGTGAGGTTATTAACTGACCAAGAGAGGAGGTGTAGATAGAGAAGAGAAGGGGTCCAAGGACAGAGCCTTGGGGGACCCCTACAGGAAGAGGAAGAGGAGGGGAGGAGTTAGATTTGTAGGTGTCACTAAAGGAGCGCTTAGATAGGTAGGAGGAGAACCATGAGAGAGCAGAGTCTTGTTGGCCAAGCGAGTGGAGTTTTTTGAGGAGGAGCAGGTGGTCCACAGTGTCAAAAGCAGCAGAAAGGTCTAATAGCAAGACTAAGGAGTAGTGGCCGTTGTGTTTAGCTGTTAGTAAGCCATTAGTGAGTATTAGGAGGGCGGTTTCAGTGGAGTGTAGGGGGCGAAAGCCGAACTGTAAGGGATCGAGAAGGTTGTTATCAGCGAGGTGGCGGCTCAGGCGGCTGTAGATAAGGCGTTCTATGAGTTTGGAGGTGAATGGGAGTAAGGAGATTGGTCTGAGATTGTTAAGGTCGGTAGGGCCCATTGATGGTTTTACAATCACATCTTCCGCCATGATAGAAAGAACCGTCCAGTTCACCACCAGGCAAACCTTGGTGAAGATCCATGCACTTGTATCTGAGTGTTGGCAGATAAGGTCTAAAGCAAAGCTAGGCAACTTTGGCACTCCGGCTGTGGTTGAACTACACATTCCATCAAGCCTCTAGGCCGTCATGCCTGTGGCTGTCAGTCTTGCAGTGCCCTATGGGATTTGTAGTCCCACTACAGCTGGATGCTAAGGTTACCCATGGTCTAGAGCAAGCCTTCTCTGCAGATAATCTGTCTGCCCATGGATACAAGTGTGAGCAGTGATGGAATAAAGGAAAGGTGTATAGAGCAAGCTATGTTGGCCATACACTACCAAAACTTTTTGAAATAAACTAAAATGTAGATTTCCTTGAACTGGATAAAAAGTTTGAGCCCCTCAACCACAGCAAGTGCATTACAGGAAAATGAGCTTGCCTGGCTGCCATGCTTTCATGGCTGTGATACTTTCTAGGGCCCATTCACACCAACAGTGTCCGGCTGCGATGCCCAATGTAGTCCCAGCACCAGAATAAGGCGATTTGTCTTATGTCCTATTACTTCAGTTTAATGCACTGTGTTAGTGTGCGCTGAAAAGAAGCAGACATGATGCATTTTTGTACATGTTAAGTTAAAAGATAAAGAACTGCAATGTGTGTAAATAACGCATTGCAGGGGAGTGTGCGTTCAAACCAATACCATTGTACATGGGTTACAGGTCCAAGGCAGGGTCAGCAGGGAACCAGCCCTCCAGTCACCTATAAAGGAGAATGAACCGGAGCTATAGGCCTCATTCACACAAACACACACTCACACACACACAGTTGTACAGCCGTACAGCATGCATGCATGCCGGTGCAGAAATCTGCACCCAGGAGTGACAGCTGATGCGTGCAGCCACCTATACCACTCAATGACAGGACGCAGCTGCAAACGGCTACATGCCACCTGAACTTGCACATCCATACAGGTACAGATGCATGTCCCTGGATGAGCGCACTTAGGGTTGCCACCTTTTCTTCAAGGGAAACCGGAACACTCAAGTGATGCGCGGACATTTTTTGGGGAGAATGAGTCGTGGCTTATTCATATGTAAATAGTGCCACCCATTCATATGAAATATCACAGTTGAGACTATTTTCAGTGGTGGGCCAGTAGCCCCTATCTTAATTTTGGTTGCCCGTCTGCCTGACATCATGTGTCTGGGTTTCAGCTGCCACGAAACCCGGACGCAGCATTCAAAACCCAGACTGCCTGGGTGAATCCTGGACAGGTGGCAACCCTAAGCGCACAACTTTTTATGACTGCACTGCAACCCAAAGTATTGTGGTCCCACATGTTGCGTGTAACACATGGCTGCTGGGAGGCGTGTTGGGGCGCCATTCAAATGAATTTCAATCAAGTGCACCTAGAACATGGTACTGCATGCTAAGTGTACTAAACCAGGGGTAGGCAACCTTAGCACCCCAGCTGTCTTGGAACTACAAGTCCCACGAGACATTGCAAGATTCTGACAGCCACAGACATGACTCCCAGCGGCAGACATGATGGGATTTGCAGTTTCATCACAGCTGGATTGCCAAGGTTGCTTTCCCCTGCACTAGATACACAATAGCATGCACTTAGGCGTCATCGCTTATATTGTAAAGCCCTGAGCAAATAACTGGTGCTATCTAAACCCTGAATAATAATATTTACCAGGACAAGATGGGGTTCAGTCTTATACCAGTCACACCTCTAAGAAAACATGTGTAACAATCCCCCCCTCCTGTATGTATCCGATCTCCTTCCATGCTTCTCCATAACACCCGCTTACACCCCATCCCAGCACTCACGTCTCCAGCGATCGCTCCGCAGGTGAATGTGCGGGCAAAATAGGTCCACTTCATGCTGGAGGACATCTTCGAAAAACCTCTGACGCTCCCTGAGGTGCTGTGAGCTGGAGGTCTGGCTCTGGTACAGGGGGTGTCCCTGAGGAGAAAAGACAGCATGAGACCATTAAAGTCCTGTGTGTGACTAGAGATAGTCAGAGACTGGCTCCCCCCCCCCATACAATGTATTCATCATCAGAGAGAAGTGTGGAGGAAACTGAGTCATGAGGGGGCTTCTCGCACACAGCCGTGTACTAAGAGCAGTATGTGTAATGACAAGATATGTAGTGCCAGGTTTACCTGCCTCGCTGTCATGTCTGGTCCACCTGGAACTGTACGGTTCCTAGACTTTGGGACTGCACGGTTCCTGGACTCTGGGACTGCACGGATCCTGGACTCCGTGACTGCACGGATCCTGGACTCCGGGACTGCACACCCTGTACACTACTTCTGAGGAGTTGTACTGAGAGAAGTCTGGGCGGGGAGAACACAATTACGTATCATTACTCATCTGAGGAGAATGGAGTGTCACTGCTGTACACTGCGTCCTCCTCACTGCTGGATTCTGGCTACAGAGATCCTTCTGTTTATTCCTCTCTGGTCACTATGCCCAGAGACACTGTGTACATTCTACTTTATTCTGTGCGGTCACTATACACAGACACCCTGTATACATTCTACTTTATTCTGTGCAGTCACTATACACACACACCCCATATACGTTCTACTTTATTCTGTGCGGTCACTATACACAGACACCCCGTATACGTTCTACTTTATTCTGTGCGGCCACTATACACAGACACACTATGTACATTCTACTTTATTCTGTGCGGTCACTATACACAGACACCCCGTATACGTTCTACTTTATTCTGTGCGGCCACTATACACAGACACACTATGTACATTCTACTTTATTCTGTGCGGTCACTATGCACAGACACCCTGTATACTTTCTACTTTATTCTGTGCGGTCAATAAAAACAGACACCCCGTATAGGTTCTACTTTATTCTGTGCGGTCACTATACACAGACACCCTGTATACGTTCTACTTTATTATGTGCGGTCACTATACACAGACACCCCATATACGTTCTACTTTATTCTGTGTGGTCAGTATACACAGACATACTGTGTACGTTCTACTTTATTCTGTGCGGCCACTATACACAGACACCCTGTATACATTCTACTTTATTCTGTGCGGTCACTCAACAAAGACACATTGGGGTTGACTTACTAAAGGCAAATAGCCTGTTCACTTTGCAAGGTAATTTGCACTTTGTGGGGGAAGTTACCCCTTAGCTTGGTAATGTGATGAAATTTCACTCTGCCAAGAATACCCAAATATGTGCAAGGAGAATAAAAAAGCTGTAATTTTGCATGCAGATGATTGTATGATGGAAGTCAGTAGAGCTTCACCTCATTCACTAAGCTAAGGGGAAACTTCCCCCACAAAGTGCAAATTCCCTTGCAAAGTGTATAGCCTATTTGCCTTTAGTAAATCAACCCAACTGTATACATTCTACTTTATTTTGATGCGGTCTCAATACAATTAAGCTAAATGTGAGATAAACTGACCATACATGTATTGACAGCAGCATGTTGTCATAGCTTTGCAGTGGAAACGTGTGCTCCTTCCGTCTCTACTCGAGTTTTGTGCTTGAATAAGAGATGTGCAGAATATGGAATACCTAATGGCTAGACTTAAAAGAGAACTATGGGGTGAGTGTTTTTCCTCATAGTTCTCTTTAGGGTCACGGAAGGACATATACTAACCTCCTCCCGTGACCCAAAGCTCAGTATATCGCAAGCTATAGCTCACGGTATACTGAGACCGCCGCAGCCGGGACGGATTTCAACAATACTGTCGAGATCCACCCAGCTATGTGAGTGACAGCGGGCACTGCCTATCTAGAGGCAGAGCCAGCTGTACCTGCCCCCTCCCCGTTGGTTCCTCCAGTCAGCACTGGAGGATCGGAGCGGGAAGGGGGGAATCTCTGCGGGGAGTGGTGAGTGACAGTCACTGCTCTCTGCAGGGAGATGATCGAGAAGTGAGCGAGCGACAGTATGTGTTCGCTCACTTCCCGATCTATTGAGCCGACGTGTGACAGTCTCATTATCACAGGTCGGCTCGAACTATGAGGATGAGTGATTTTCACTCACCTCATAGTTCTCCTTTAATAACACCTTAACTTTGTATCACAAGATCTGCAAAGCTTGGGAATCATTAGATGGACAGTGGGCCTTAGGCCCCATTCACACTGAGCGCGATATCGCTCTCCAATGCATGTCAATGGAGCTGTGCTCGTCCCTGTCACGTGTCGCTTGCGCAGGACCCTTTTTTGGCGCGGATGTCGCGCGATTGTACTCAGCCCAATGCAAACATTTGGAGGATATTGTGTGTTAAAACGCGCAATATCGCGCAAACTGACAATCGCGTGACAAAAGCTCAGTGTGAATGGGGCCTTATAGATTGGATATCTAAAACTTTTTTTTTTCTCTTTGTCGATGTCTTCCTCTGGCTTGATTGCTCTGGGGTAGATCGGACTCTTGGCTCTTGATCTTTCCATTTCTTTGATCTCTCTTGTTTCTTTCCCTTTTGATCCTCTAGTGACCTCTTTCTCTATCTTTTTTCTGAATCCTCACTTTTCATTTCTCGTTCTCCATAGTTAATACGGATTAGTCTTTTATTTAAAAGGAGTTACTTACTTATTATTCTCCAACTACATGTAACTTCCTTTTTTGAATTAATTTCCAAACTCATCATAGACATCTAGATAACTTTGTTCCTCTTACTTCAAAAGCCTAATTGTAATGTTTCGAATGCATTTTTAACCAGATATAACTTTTAGGTGCTTTACTTGACTATTTCGTTATGAGAATGTGATATATATATTGCTTCACTATGCGTATCCCTATGCTCCCAAGCTGGAGTCCGAGGACAAGGGGTTACACCATGAGGAGCAGCTGGAGAGTGTCATCAATCAGCATTCAGCATCTGCAAGGTAGTAGTCTCTCTATTACACACTGCGTATGTGTATCTGTCTATTACAAAGCATACCTGTCTATTACTCACTGTATATCTTTAAATTGCAAAGCATACCTGTCTATTACTCCCTGTATACAAGGCCTGGACTGGCCATCGGGCTGAGCCAGACACAATCCCTGCATCCAAAAAGCCTGATTGTGTTCGGCCTGGCTTGGCCCACTATGCCTGATGGCCTTCTCTGAGCAGGGCAGGAGGGTTCACTCTCGGATTGGCTGCTCCCCTGTGGCTTGTGTGGCGTGCTGTGTCTGTCCGCCCAGTGCCAGAAGCAACGGTGAGAGCGGAAGAGATCCTGGCAGGGCACCGCACTATTGGGGGTGGCTGAGGATGATGTGTCCACTGTCGCTCTGCAGGCGTTGCCAGGCAGCACGACATCCTGCTGTTTGAGGTGCTCACTGAGGAACCCGCTCCTACGCTCCACTAGCCTCTGCTGGCAGCTGGAGAAAATCTCCCTCCTGGTACCTGGCCGTCAAAGAGAAGATGCTCCAGGTGGTGCCTAGGGGAGGGTGTGTGTGGATGGGTGAAGACTGATAGGGGGTGAGGACTGGGTACAAGGGGGCCAGGGATGCCTGCTGGAGAGAGTGAAGACGTTTGGTTATGTGTTTAGATAAAGCACTGAGATCTTGAGGAATGCTGAATTAAGTTTTACTTACTAGTTAAGTTTTAATTATATATATATATATAGAGAGAGAGAGAGAGAGTGTGTGTGAGAGAGAGAGAGAGAGATATCTATATATCTCTATATATAGTGTGGGGTTATAGCTCAAATGGGGATCACCTTCCCTGAGAAAAAGGTAGTCCAGGCAGTCAGTTTTATTTAAAAGGTTGCAAAATCAAAACGAAATAAAACAGAAAATAAATCCTTCCAATCCCGGCTCTAACTAAACAGACAGATTTCCTCTCTGGCCCCATTCACATCAGGGCACTAGCGGTTCAGTGCAGTTTCCACACGGTTTTTGGTAGGGCGTTTTTAACTGCGTTTCAGTGCTGAAACACAATTAAAAACGCCCAGAAATGCACTGATCAGCACATTTCCATTGAAATCTATATGGAAAACGCACTGATCAGCACTGAAAAAGTAGCTCAGGGAACAGTTTTGGCAGCAGATGGACTGAAACGCACGATTGCATGAATGGGCCGCATAGGAATAAATGTGTTTTTGTGACGAGGGAGCATGGAGCCGACTTCCCAGCCAATCAGGAAGCCGGGCAGCGTGTAATGACTCGCTGCCCGGCTTCCTGATTGGTCAGGAAGCTGGCCAATCAGGAAGCCGTGCACCATGTAATGACGCGGCGCCCGGCTTTCTGATTGGCTGGGAAGCTCAATTGTCACCTCATGGCGAGGGAGCATGGAGCTGGCTTCCCGGCTTATCAGGAAGCCGGTCACCGCATCATTACATGGTGCCCGGCTTTCTGATTGGACAGAAAGCTGGCTCTATACATTCTCGTCACCTAGTGACGAGAAGTATGGAGACGGCTTCCCTGCTAATCGGAAAGCCAGGTGGCGAGTCATTACACGCCGCCTGGCTTCCTTAATGGGACTTTCGGTATCGGTATCCGGTATTGGCGAGTACAGGAAAAAAAATATCGGTACTCGTACTTGATACTGAAATACCCGTATCGGTGCATCCCTAATATATATTGATATAATAAAGACTTTTTTTATCATGTTTGAACACCATGTACAGCGTGCTGATTCCCATCTCTCTTATAAGGGCATGTGTTGACGGGTTTGGCAGGTGGACTTTGTCCTGCACTTCTGACTTGCATTTGACCTGCTTCAAGCAGGTTTTGCATTTATATTGACTATATTGGAAATGCAAAACCCACATAAAGTAAACAGAAGCCCGTGTACACAGATATAGTCCTGCTCGTTCACCATGCAACAGAGGGCTGCAGCCATAGAGAATAATGGCAAATCTGCCTCATGGTCCCAGGCGGACTGTATACATTCTTTGTGATCAGACCTGTAAGCTGCCACAAGTGGAGGAATTTAAAGGGATCTTGGAGAGACAACGGCAATAAATACTGTGTGAAGTGCTTTTTTTCTCTCATGACAGACTTAAATGCATATTTGGCTGTTTTGCAGAACACTGCTATTGCTAAGGTTACCAGGAAAGAATGTTTGAAGTTTATTATCAATTTTATATGTTATAAATATTTAGAAGTAAAAAATATCTGACATGTTCTGTAAAGTTCTTACTGTTCCCCATGTTAAAGAATAAGTGCACTTAGGTCAGGGGTGTGGGGTAAGAAGGATAAGTGCACTTAGGTCAGGGGTGTGGGGTAAGAAGGATAAGTGCACTTAGGTCAGGGATGCGGGGTAAGAAGGATAAGTGCACTTTGTATTAAAGTGCAATTATCCTTTACAGGAAGATTACAAGTGCTTACCTATAGTATTTCATAGATTA